CTCGTATGTGCGGATCGTTATGCATTATGCAACATGAAAGTCTCTATCCGCGCTCTGAGTCGATCGCAAATTGCCTATCGAGCGGTGGGTATTGTTACTGTCTTTTGGAGTGTAATTTCTATTCATTTACTCATCTGGGAAAGTATCCAGAATGGACGATGTGGTGTATATGGAATCTATGGACAGATTTTTAGTTTTTATATTGCGATTTTTACTGGCTTAATACCGATTATTTTAATGATTTCGTTCAGTGTAATGCTGGTAAAGAATTTACATCGATTACGTTCACAAGTTCAATCAATTCATGGCACTCATCGTTTGAGTAGAAAGGATGTTTCATTGATGAAACTTATATTAGTCGAAGTGATTGTATATATTATTTGCACGATAATGTATCCATCAATGACAATCTATACGCAAGTAACATCATATATGACGTCAAATAAATCTGCCCAGCAAAAAGAAATTGAATCATTTATCAATTTTATTACGATGTCATTACTTTTGTATCTTAATTATAACACGACGTTCTATGTTCATGTTATCACGTCCAAAGCATTTCGAAATGAAGTAAAACAACTATTACTCAAGTGTATTCGAAGATCACCAAATAATTTAACAAATCAACAACATGGAGTAGAGCCTATAATGACAGTCAGAGGAAAGCAGCATCTACAGAACATTACAATCATTTGAAATGCATGCATATGTCAGCATGCGACTCAATCTTTTTGTTGTTCCGTATATGATTATCTATCTTTCTGTTAACTTTTTTGTTGCTGTTTTACTTATTGTATTAAAAAAATTAGATTGCTTCGATATTTCAAAGAAAAGAAGAATAAAATATAACAGTGTGAGTGGCTGTTTTATCGACGTCTATATCTATGTTACATTTCAAAGTGGTTTATTTAAAAAGGTTTGAATCAATTTGATAAGATATATGCTGCAGATGGTTTTCATGGTAAACAATAATATTTAAACTCTTAAACGTCATAGAGGAGAATGTGAGTGTGTGAGTACAATTATTACACATCTGCATCCACAGACACACACTAGGAGAAGAGAACCGAAAAGTTGAGCACGTGAAGAAATTAATTGTTCTTTATCATTGATGATTTCACAATATAATCACTATTTTTATGAATGAAGCGAGAAAACAAATATCGTTTTTAGATTGCAATAGGTATTCTTATGTAAACGTAGTGATGCTGTATAAATTATTTAAGATATTGTTGTCACTGTCGGCTTCACACATGTATTATCTTAAGGATGTCGGCAAGGATGAAATGTGGTTGCATGTGAATTTTTTGTCATAAAATGTAAAGAAATGGATATAATGTTCACACTTAAGATAGTTTTTTCACGGTAGAGTCATTTATTCAATGCAGCAGATTAGCAGAAAGTGCTAAAGAAAACTTCTTTGACAAGAACTAATTGAAGAATTATTATTAAATTATAGTGAATTTCAAGACATTTTTTTGTAATAACACATTGCGAAGCGGGTTGTTTTGGTACGCTAAAAGACATGAAATATAGAGATGCACATTTATTTTTAGATTCTCTATGAAACAAAGATAAACGTAATAGAAAATTGTATCTTTAAAAATATATTATTAATTGAGATTTCAATAGTTGAGAATGAAATAATAAAAGTCATATTTCTTTCTCTTTAGTTTTTCAAAGAGACATATTTTCTTTGTTTCTATTTTGTCAAAGTGAAGCTAAATTAACACACTGACTCTGAATATAAAAAATAAATGCGTAAAATCTTTATATTTAAAAATGAAAGAAAAGAATTTGTTTTCATACGTCAATATGGATCGGAAAGTTGGTAGCAAAGTTGTGTTATTATTAATTGAAGAAAATAGAGCCTATGGATGATATTAAGTTTTCTCGGTTAGGGAGAGCTGTTTCCACTTTCTTGTCTTCGAAAATCTTGAATAAAATTTTAGAAGATAACGCTTTCGGACCGAGAAAACATCACATTATCGCTCTCACTCTAATTTCCAATGTATATTGACGTATGAAAGAAATCTTAGCTTTTAAGAAATGGTAAAAGTGAATTAACATCTCTACTGAGTATGCATTCATTTATTTGGAGAATATTCGTCTCGATATTATCTATTCATGCATACAATTTAAAAGAACTCGAGATTGTCAATTCTTCATTGTGTAAATATATTTTTGTATCAATAAGAGATGAGAAAGAACTGAGATTAGCATTTTATAATAATTACTTATTACATAATGAATCTCGCTCAATATTTTTTATGACGCACGAGAGTTAAGAAGTGTATTACTCTCTTTCTAATGAATTCTATTGCTGGTGTCGTATAAGCTTTATTGTCGTTTAAGGCTACGCCTGGTGTAGATAATATATTCTAGATATTTTTTCTATGATAGTCGTTGTTTTTAAACTGTGTTTTATTTGTAGACATGAGTGTATCATCAATTGATTTAATTCAACGCATAATTTCACTATCACTTGTTCCTGTTTGTCTCATCATCGGAACAGTGGGAAATATCTTGAATTTCTTTATTTTTGCTCGTCGATTGAATAATTCTGGAAGTGCCTTATATTTTGTGGTCTTATCGTTAGCAGACCTGGGAACTATCTGGGTAGGTTTCTTTCCATATTTTCTATCACCACTTCTCGGTTATGATCCAACTCAAACGAATAGTATCGTTTGCAAAATCCGCCAGTATATGTTCTTTCTTACTCTTGTTTATCTTCGACATTTTCTTTGTGTAATTTCGATTAATCAACTGCTGATAATTTCATCTAATGATGGACACCAGCGTATGAATTCTATAAAAATTGTTAGACGAATAACAATTGGCGGTCTCATATTTTGGGCAATTATCAACATTCATTCACCCATTTTTTTCGATATACGCGGTGAAGATGGTTGTTTCCCACAGTCCGGTTCTTACACAGTATTTGTGTCCATCTACAATCTGATGATTCCTATTGTTTTGCCCGTAACAATCATTGGAATATGCAGCTATATTACCATTAAGAAAGTACGTCAAATTTTCTCACATGTTACTTCTTTAAACTTACTGAACACAAGTATGATCGTCGAAATTCAACAGCAACGAAGAATACGAAAGCATCTTCAGATGACTCGATTAATCTTGGTTCAAGGACTTGTCTATATCGTTCTCAATATACCGAATACAATCTATACATTTTACTTATTAGCGACAACGAATGATTTATCAAAAAGTTCTAATCGTTTATCTATCGAATCTTTCATTCGTTGGCTCTTTCAAATGTTACTTGCTGTCTACTGTACATTGACAATCTTTATTTACATGTTTACTTCATTCAACTTCAAGCGTCAATGCTTGTATTTGTTACGACAAGTTCTAGTACGTCAAGAACAATTTCATTGATATCATTGTCGTTGATTAAATTCCAATTTCTTACTTTTAAACACTTAATTTTATTGTATGTGTTGTTACCACGATGAAAAAAATATCTGACTCACATCCACAGCCACGCCCCTCATTGTCAGGCATTCACAGAGCAGCTCTAGTCCCTGGATTACTAGTCGAGAATCCTTTAATTATGAATCAAATAGTGGTGACAAAAATTGACTTTTATTAGACGATTTAGCGGCATTTGTGCCGCGTTACTTGTTTACTTTACATATATTTGTTGTCGAAAATTTCAGAAAAAATCAGACATAGATCTACAAACGCTGCATAATATATCCATATTTACATTGTGAACGGACACTTGTGTACGAAAAAATGACGAGTTTCCGTTTCTTCTAACATTAAATTGAATTGAATTCTGAGAAAAATATCTCAGACCTAAACAAATTTTTTCGTTGTTTGCATGAAAAAATACATGTACCCTCACAATAGAAACTTTTGAGGGTGATGATATGTAATCATTAATATATCCTTCTCCACATCTTCAGTGAACACTTCCAAGCTAATCAATATGAATATAGTTGTGTATACCATTCTTTTTGTAGTATTCATGCAAATATGTTGTATTACAATATCGGTTCAAAATCATAGTATAGCTGTTAACACTATTGCTTGCGCTTGTATTGGTACCCGTAGTTGTCATTTTGCTACAGCTTTTGTCATGAGTCGTACTATTGAGCCTGTAACTTCTCACTCTCACCCAAGATTTTTATTCTTTTGAACTACGTCTAAATTGTAACTAATTTGATGTAACGGTTACTTTATTATACCACTGGTACAAATTGTGAATTGAACACTTGTACGTGTCAAACTTAATAACCATATAAATAAAATACTAGACATATAATGTGAATCTGTTGACTATTTAGTATATTTACATTTTTCAAGATGAAGTTATTATAGTTTATCTAACTCAATAGTGCAATTAGATATAAAGAAATATCTTATAATCTTTAATAAATATTCTTTCAGAGTAGCGTAAATGATGATAATTATTAGCATGTTTTTATTCCTAATGATAGCATGTCATCAGTTTACTTCACACCATCAATTTACTTACTCCACCTGAGATATCAAGGTATTAGTAATAATAAGATATATTCGTTGAATCATATCTGCGTAATATTATTCGAAATGACTCAGATAAAAACTTATCTTTTGTCGTAAATATCAAGTATTATATCTGTCAAATACGTCATAGGTATAAATAAATGTACTAAAATGACTGATTAGTAATCGAAAAATAAATTTAGTAAAAGAAAATTTAATTACAATAAATTTACATTATATTTATCTTTGCTCGTAAAAAAAAACTGTCAGTACATATGACTGATAATAGTTTTGTTATTAAAATGTCATACATATTGTTAATTTATCACTTGTAATTAAATATGTATGTTTGCATCAATGTCATTTAATATAAGATAAAAAGAGTCCATTTATAAGCAATTGATGAATATTTCAAAAAATAGAAACAAAACAAAAACCTTCGTTTTCTTTTTTTTTGTTTTGAGGGAAATAATCACAGGTGATAAATATATACAAACAAATAATAATTATAATTTGATTTGTTTATTGGCTGAATTTAATAAACGATCAACATTATTTAAAACAGTTTTTCTTAAACCACGATTTGTTTGTGATGTTATTATATCATTGTCATTTTCATCTGAACTTGAACAAATATTTTGTTCATCATCATATTGATTTTGATTATCATGTATATTTTCAATATTATTGCCATCATGTGCAATTAAACCACATGTATCAGAAGATGATGTATGCATACCAATTGTATTTAAAACTGTTTCAGCAGTTTTAATTGAAAAATTCTTTTGACTACTTGTTGTTGATGAACCAACACTTCGACGTAAACGTGTAGTTTTCTCTGAACCATTACTTACAAATGTGGGTTGTGATGATATAGATGAAAATATTGTTGGTGAACTATTATCATATGAATGTTGAGATAATGAATAGGATGCAATACTTAAATTTGATAACGATGTATTATCTTCTGACATATTAAAAAGATTTGTTAAGGAATCAGATTTTTGTCGAAGATTTGCTGATAAACTACAAACACTTTCGATTTCACTTAAATCACTTGCTGAACCAGTAATTGAAACTAAATAAATAAGATAAATATCGATATAGAATTATTATTGTTTTTATTTACTTGATTGTTGTGAGATTGATGGAGTAGTATATTCTTCCATTTCAAGATATGTTGAAGAATGTGGAGGAAGAATACGACGTTGAAATTTCATTTTATTATGTATTTGTTCACCTTCGTCAAAGCGAGGTCACAATGAAGATTCACTCACTCGCTCGTTCGATTTTTGTTTTTGTTGTTATTCACTGTCATCGTGGTTAATGCAAATATAGAAATGAAAATACGAAGACAGAGAGAGAGAGAGAGGGAAGAAAAAAGCGAGACGTAAACGATGATTAAATATGTGGGTGAAACAGGGAGAGAGAGAAAGAAAGTTAAATATTTTCTTCTGGCTCGAGCGAGACAATAATAATGAAAGAATACGAGAAATATTATATTCAGTAGTTGGAAAAGAAGACGACAAGAGAGTGAGTTACATATATTACTGATTTAATATTCTCGATCTCATTCTTTTAATAAGGCAAAGAAAACAAAAAGTTTATATTTACATGTCAGCTTCTTTTTTTTCTTCTTCTCTCTTACACTTTTGCGCATACCTATAGGCGTCATTTTAACATATTCTCGGTCTCGTCCAAAAGAATTTTATTCATTCTGTTCTTTTTTTTTAATATAAGAAAAAGAAAAAAAATGAAGAAAAATTACAAAAAAAAACATGAATTAGTAATCAATCAAATATAATGAATCAATACAATTACACACAACACAAGGGTAAACAAAAGAAAATAGTAAATTCGTTTCTTCTTTTTTTTTTTTCTTCTTGTTGCATCTAAGGAATAGATTGATTTTGGTTACATCAATCAATCATTTGAAAGAAAACAATAAAATATCATTATTCAATTCTGTGAAGATTCTTTCTCAACAAGTGCAGCAAATTCTAGAAAATAAAATATAAATTTTATTAAAGAGAATTATTATTTACCTTCAATCGATATCTTTCCATTTCCATCTCGATCAACTTTTTGAATCATTGTACGAATCTAAAAAATATATATATTAGATTTAATAGAATATTTTTCCAGAATAAACAAACTTCTTCATTAGAAAAATTTCTTCCAAGTTGACTTAGAATATTTTTTAATTCTTCAGCTTCAATGAAACCATCACGATTATGATCGAATCTTCTAAATGCTTCAAGTATTTCAGCACGAGAATATTTTTTAAAATAAAAATCTGCAACAATTTCAGCAAATTCTTCAAATTCAATACGACCTAGAAAAAAATCAATACAATAAAACTAAGACATTTAGTCTCCTATGACAAACCATTGTCTAAAAACAAAGAAGATAAATTAGCTATTAATAAAATTGCTTTTCTTTTTACTATCAACATCAATTGCGGAAAACATTTGACGAGCTTCTTGTTCCGTTATACTAACACCTAATGCAGATAATGATTGTTTCAATTCTACGATTGTTATACCACCACTATTATCCGAATCAAATAAATTAAATGCTTGTCGAAGTTCTGAAAATCGACGACAAGAGAAAACAATAACATCCTACATATAAAAATTCATATAGAATTACCTGATAATTGATCAGAACTTAATTTTCGTACTTTCTTATCCTAGAAAATATAAAATCGTTTTTATAAAGATAAACATATAAATAAGTACTTACAGAAGACATTATGAATTATACTTGCATAAGAAATCTAAAGAGAAAATAAGATTGGAAATAAATTCTATTCTTTACGCCAATGTATTATTATTATTTTGAAAAGATAGTATATTTACTTACGTGATGAAATGCATTAACACGTGTAATTCCTAGTTTGATGTTTTTCGTTCGTCTTCTATCTTTGATTTTCTTATTCTTTTATGAATGCGTAAAGATAAAAGAAAAGGATATGCACACTGACATTATTTTTTATTAGAAGAGATGAGCGAGCAAAAAATGTGCGTGTTCGACGGTTATACAAATTAGCAAGTAACCCGAGTAGATTCCTTTTTTATTATCTATTTTTCATCGGATTTCTCTTGCGACAAGATTACTCATCTGTTTCAAAATTTCATTATATTCAATGATGTATATCGATAAAAGGAATTATCGTTACTCATGTTTCAGTTTGATAATAGAAGTTTTATGGTATCATGTCGATTTTCAAAAAACACTAACGTTCAATGAATCAAACATTTTTATTTGTGCCTTTGTTACAATTTATATTTCTATAGGAGAGAGAATCGCGTAATTCAAGAAGCGAGTAACTAAAAACAAATTATATATTTCAACTATTAACTTACCGACAAATTAATCTCTGTTATAATTAAATATTTTTTAATAATGTAAAGAAAAGCCTCATAAAAGTTCATATAGTCATTTTAGTAGTTTATTAGAATAAGTAAAGACAAGTATTAAAATATTCTTGATATATAGTCTCTAGTCAAATGTTCCCTCTTTTTTTTTTAATATCGACTACTTTTAATTAATATTTCTACAGTTGACAAGAACGACACATGAGTACATAGTGTAAAAAACACGTGTGACACATTCTATTGAATATGATAAGACCCCAGAAGCATTCAATATAAGATAGAAAAAGGATGTCGAATTTTTTGAAGATATATAATAACAGGTTTTATTATTATTTCTGAAAATAATCTAAATGACAGAAAAAGGTAAAAGTCAATGTATTCTTTTATCTAATTCCATACAAAACAGAGTTTTTGCAGGTATTCAACTACTTTCCTATGTCAGTGTCACTTACATTTGTAGAATATCTTTAATCAATATTTTTTAGTCTAAAGAAGACAAAAAAACTAGTTAATAGGATCAAGAAGTTTACATACATGTCAAGAATAAAAATCATGAAGATCAAAAAATATTTTAGTTAAATTTATAAGCAAGTCATCACAGATAATTGTAAAATATCTAATTTGTTTCTATATATATATATATTCATTGCTTACTACAACTCATAGTTCTGCAAAAAAGAAAAAAACGGAAAATTATTTTCAATAATCAAATGTGATATTCTCTAGAGAAATGATGAATATCAGAAAAAAAAGAACCATATTTTACTTAGTGGAAAATAACAATTTTCATCTATTTATAGCTAATTTAATATTAGAGTATATGGGAAAATTTTTGAATAAATTTTTTTATTTCCTCCTATAAAATAAGAATCGAACAATTATATTATTCAAGGACTTTAAATACATATTGACAAATTTTTCTTCGTGTATTTCGAAGTTACGAAAAACTATACAAAAAGCAAACAAACAAACATTCTTAATTTTTTTTTCCTATATATATGTAAATGTTTGTTTTAAAATGAAAATAGCACCAAAAACAAAAAAGGAAAATAATGTAATTAAACAGACGAAAATGAATTGTCACTTGAACTATGAAAACTAATAAGTGAATGATTATCAATATCATTTTGTGTTGTATATAGATGTATTTGATCAAGATCAAATGCATGATCCCAATCTAATTCAGCTTTTCGATTACGATATTGACCACGTTGTGTTGGTTCTTTTGGCTTGAAATTAAGATACGCAATATCATCATCATCATCATCATTAAGGTCACGTGAAATATAAGTATGATTATTTTTTATTTCCATTAATGGACGAATAGGTTGTTGATAATTATGATATTGTAGACGATCATAATATTCATTTGTGGACGGTAGTGTTCGTGTAAAATGTTGTTTTTGACGATAATGATGATTACTATTATAAAAAATTGTTGTTGGATGAAAATTCGTAGGACGATAATTTTTTTTTGAACGACGTTTTTGTGAATTTGAATAATTTTCAGTTACTAGTCGTTCGTTTGTTTCATGTTTTACTGTGACAAGTAGATTAGGATATCGATCTGAACGTGGCTGTTGTTGTTGATGACCATTCATCTTTTTTTGTTCAAGTGTCAGAATGTATTCAAAATCTATAATATAAATATGAAAATAGATGAGTAAAATAAAACTACACACGCGCACATATATACAATAAAAAGAAGATCAACCTTGATTTGATATGAAATAAATATCATATCAATCAATTATTAAACAAACACATAAAGACCATCAAAGGCAGGTAAGTATAAACGTCAATTTTTCTTTCATCAACTACTACTTAAAAGAAGGTTAGATGTGAGTCGTACGAAAAATCGTTTATTTCGGATTAAGCTATTGCACAATGATTGAGCTGTCGATAAATCATTATTTGAATGATGATGATGATATGCTTTATAGACAGAAGGACAATAGTGATATATGTATATATGTGCATGTAGGTATAACCGTACTTGATATATATCCACGTTGAGCTTACGACAGAAAAAAAATGCAGATAAGACATCGTATACTTAATCAAAACAGCTGTCTTATAACAAAAAACGAATATAACCGAGACACCTGTCGATTAGTTTAATTTAGAAAAACAGTTTTTATCAAACGTAGATATCAAAGATAATATTTCAATAAACCACTACTAAAATACTTATACCTTTTATGTATCTACTTATTGCCTTGATTGATTCTTCATTTCATTGTATATATACAAATACACAATATGGTTTAGTTTATTTAATAAATACCATTAATGGCGATCGATTTATTATTTTAAAAAGTGAATGAATAGAAGTAAAATAGTGTGTGTGAGTGATTTTTACTTCTTGCGCACATTTGTTTGAAGTGGGTGGACGGATAGCAGGATGCAAATATACTATTACTTTCTCTTTCTTCCCCTAAATATTCACCGGGCATTCGTTCTTTCTTTACTATGCTTATATTAAATACAACACAGAACAAATCATTATAGAATCATAAAATTTTTCTTTTTCATTTTATAAACACTCTTTGATCAAATATTAATATAATATCTTACCGCGTATATATTTTTTATCTGTGTCTATCTATAAATAATACTTACTAGTTATGATTGCTATAAATAAGATGAAAGACGATTTTTTACTACACAACTGATATTTATTCATCAACAATCAATGAATCAAAAGAGATTCATTTCTGACATTTATTATTACACGTATGAAAATACATACATGTCCTGTATGATAGTAGTAGGAACAGCGAACAAGAGAAGAAGAAAAAAAAGCAAATAACATCGATATACATGAGATGCACTCGTTCGTATATATGTACATATAATAATTAGACAAGACATAAACAAAATAGATGAGTGAGAGCAAAACATCGAAAACAAATGAGAATCAGCGTTGTTGTCACGCGGTGCATATTGAGAAAAAAATGTTTTATAGGCATATCAGACTATAATAATTAATTGAAACTGACATCTGTATCAACATATTGATCTAATTGTAATTACTTATTAACTATAGAACTTTGGTCTTTAGCAGGGTTGCCATTTCTTCCGGATTTCCCGGAAAAGTTCCGGATTTTCAGATTTTTTCCGGATTTTTTCCGGCGTCCGGAATTTTCCGGATTTCTGAAGAATTTCCGGATTTTGAAAGTTTTTCTGGATTTTTCCGGTTTTGGATATTTTTCATACAAAAAATTGCATTTTAGCTGTTTATATATATTTTTATTTATATTTTAGAAACTTTTATTGATGTAATAGAGGTTTTATACTTCCTTATATTAGTCTTGAGACGACTAATCATCTTTCTCGGTCCTAGTCTATACTTTTTCTTATGTAATCTATTAACAATAGCAAAAAAAACGTCGCTTGTATTTTGATTTTATCCTTCTTTTTCAAATTCAGAATGTTTGATCAAAGGAATAGAATGTCAACAGATCTTATTGCGGCTGAGTTGAAAATTCGTTTAAATGCATCTATACCTTGTACACAAGTTTATGACTTTTTTCTATCGAAACCGAATCTGTTAAAACTTATTCACTCTAGTGAAAAAGATTCTATTAGAAAAACAACGTATTATCTAACATGTAAATGTATGGATTATGATTTATTATTTGTTAAGTTCACTATGTTTTGACATTTTTTCCATTGAAATATATATTTTTTGGAGCTTCAGAACAAAACTATTGATATTTTGGTTGAGAAACTGAAGTTTAATCAATTAAAATGGTCTCTAAAAATCTTTCCGGATTTTTTTCCGGATTTTGAGAAAAAATTTCCGGACTTTTCCGGATTTTAAAAAAGAAATTCCGGATTTTCAGCTGTAGCATCTGGCAACCCTGGTCTTTAGTTATATAATTAGCTTCTTTCTTTTTTCTTATGCATATACTTTTTAGAATAAATAAATATGTCAAGTTATTAAATAAACAAACGATTGTATCAAATAAATGTAATGATTTTTAAATGTGATATTATAATTCTTATCAAAGGAATCAAATTTCTAAAATGTCATATTATTAGGTGAATGTCACAGCTTGTGTTTTGGATTAAAAAGAATATATGTATGTATGTGTGTCTGACATTCTCTTTGATAAGCTTGTTTAAGAACGCCCTCTATTGAAAATTTCAATATAAATAAATAAAATGAAAAAATTAAATCGAGAATTATTCAACTTTTAATTAAATAAGCAAGAAAATAGATTATAGTTTTATCTATTAATATCCAACCAATGGATACTGAAGGTAGTTGCATAGCAGCAAATCAATAAAAAAAGTCATTACAATAACAGATTTTCATCATTTGTTTATTGTTGTTGTTTTCTATTGAAATCTATTTTAACTATACATTTTAAAATTATAATAACTAAACAACGCATTATTTTCATCTTATTTTTCTATTGATTCATTTTTTGAAATTATTTAGTTTTAATTCATTTAACTAACTATGTATAATCGACAAACTGTTAGACCTAGTATATACGCTTCTAATTTCTTTATATTTATTAAATATCTTAAATATTTAAAGGCGTTCGTCCAACAGCAACAACTAATATTAGTTATGGTGCATCAAATAATCGAAGTTCTGTGGGCACAGCTGGAAGTCGTGGATCCATGGGACGATCACAACCGTCTGCTCGGTAGGATTACTTGATGTTTATATGTAATAATCAAAGAATATGTCTATACAGAGGATCATCAAATCAATATGAAGATCAATCACCACCTCGAAATGTTGGTAGACAACAAAAAGCATCAGGTGGTGGTGGCGGTGGTGGACAAGGTTATGGTGAATATGATCATTTGTATAAAAATGCTCCTGTATGTTTATGAAAAAAAATATTATATAATTATGGTTTATTCAATAAATTGAGTATAGGGAGGTACTGGAGCACCACCAGCTATGCCTAAATTTGTAATGTGCTATATTTGTGGACGAAAATATGGAACACAATCAGTTGAAATTCATGAACCTCAATGTTTAGAAAAGTGGCATATTGAAAATGCTAAATTACCTCCGAATCTACGACGACCAGCACCTCGTAAACCTGATATTCATATTGGCAGTAAGTTTATGTATTCTTTTTATGTATAGATTTAAACGAAATTTTTTCTAAAAAAAATTAAAGGTAAAGGTAGTTATTCAATCGATGAAATCAATGATGCAGCGTATGAAGCAGCTAAAGCACAACTTGTTCCATGTGATAATTGTGGACGAAAGTTTGGTTCTGATCGTATTCAAGTTCATCAAAGAAGTTGTAAACCAGGCAATGCAGCTAAATCAATTGGTGTATGTTTCTATTATTTGATTTCTTCGAAATATGAAATTCTTTTGTTTAACATAGGCACCAGCTGGTCCTGGAGGACGAGCAGCAGCAGCTGAACGACCTATGATGCAACAACGTGGAAATCCTAGTAATAGTATGTTGAATATATCAGATAAAAAGATGTATTTATTTTTCTAATATAGATGAATTCGATGATGTGCCAATTGCGTCTTCAAAAAAAGGTGGAGCTAGTGTACCATTTGACAGTGGTTCATCTGGTACATCAGGTCTTTATCCATGTTCTATTTGTAATCGAAGATTTGCAAGTGAACGCATACAACAACATGAAGACGCATGTAAAATAGCTCATAAACAGCGACGTACATTTGATTCAACTAAACAACGGATACAAGGAACAGAAGCAGCAGCATATTTTCGAAAAGGTGGCAAAGGTGCCAAAGGTCGACCTGAACCAGCTAGACCTCAAGTAAATGTTAGTTTATTTAACTTGAAATCTTTTTTAAAAATCGTTTTTTGATTAGCCTCCAAAATCAAATTGGAGACAAAAACATCAAGATTTTATTCAAGCTATTCGTTATGCTAAACAAGCGACTAGTCATGAAAAAGCAGGTAAGATATAAAAATAAGGAGAAAAACAGCAATTGAAAATATGAGTTTTTTAGGCGGTCGTATATCTGATCTACCTCCACCACCTGTTTCCGTCAATCCAGACTACATACAGTGTCCACATTGTAGTCGTAATTTTGCTCCAATGGTAGCTGAACGACATATACCAAAATGTACTAGTATAATAGCTAAACCTAAACCACCACCTAATCGTATGGGTACACAGCAACGTATGGCTCCTAGTAGTAGTAGTACTCGTACAGGTATGTCAGGTTATAATACTACATCTGGTGGTGGTGGCTTTGGTAATAGTGCTGCGTATCCACCACCAAATCGATCAACACGTGGTGGACGTTATTAGATATATAAAAAGAATCTTTTGTATAAAATATAACTTGCGTTTTTTTTTTCATGTGCTATTATTATTATTATTCTAACATGCATAATGTGAGTAGAAAAATAGTGAGTAAAACATCTGTTATTTTCCTGTTCAGCTCACTTATATAACCGGTTCTCATTTGTTTATATTTTGTTCAATGATATGGTGTTTGTCGAATGTTAACATTAATCTTACATTGTGATTCAAATTTAGATAAAAAAAATTTCTGCCTTTTTTTTTGTTTTCATTTCTTTCGATAATCAATTGTTGTCATTTCATCATACAATTTTACATATTCGGTTTCGTATGTCATAATAAAAAATGTAAAATAATATAAAATAAAATTCCGATTCGATATCATATTTATTCTCAGAGAAATTTGTTTTGTGTTTTTATATGAAAATAGAAACTCACATAGCATGAGGGTGTTTTCGAGTATATAAGCAATGCCGTGTAATAAAATCAATAAGAAAAATAAGTGATATTTCAAATGACTGACAATACTGATACGTATTTAAGTAATCTAAAATAAATATCACATAGGACAAAACATGTACTTTTTCTACAGTAGTTATCATTGAATCGATATCATGAATGACAATGCTATTTTTAATACTACCTCCATCGACTAATGTCATGCGTGTCAAAACATTGGCAATGTCCTCATAAAGGTAAAGTATGAATCATACATACTATAATAGGCAACATATACAAAATTGATCTTATAAAGCCTGTAGGAACTACTTGTCTCATGTAATTGTCATAAACAAAGGAAAAAAAATACTGAGCAGCTGTTGTTTATTATGCAAAAAAACTTTAAAAATTTCTTTAACAATCATCGTTAGAGAAAGACGCTGTGCATATGTAAAGACATGTGTTGATGATATCTGAGATTACATCATAAAAGGCATGTTCATGTTTCATCTAGATGCATATATATATTGATATGCAATTGTATGTTTATATGTGCTATTAAGAACCAGCTGTAGTGAAAAATCTATGAAAAAAAGAAAGTTAATCGTGTTGTATCTTTTTCAGTGTGACAGTTGTTCAACGAAATATTGTAATATTACTTCATATTGAAAAAAGAAGTAAAATGTGTCTGTTGTATAATTTCAATTAAGAAGAAGATGTAATGAAGCTCTTTTTTGATATATAATGGTATAATAATGAATCGCTCGTAATATATATGATTATCTAAAAGACTTAACTTCACTGTAGTAAAAACTGGTAGATATGTAACAATATATGAAAGCTTTCTCAGATGTGTGCCGCAATATTTAAATCACTTTGTCGATTAATATAAAATATACATCCTGAATTATATGATGTTTTAAAATTTTTCATCAGTCAAATAAGAACGTTAGCATAAGATCGGAAGTGTATTCAATCTATTGTTAAAATAATCAATTACTTATTTTACCGTAATTGATAAAAATGATTCTTTGTTTGATTACATTTTTATCTATTTTTGATGAGTACTACCTAGAAGACGTACCATTAATCTTATCTAGCAATGACAACCCTATTGAATTGATTCGACCGTGTATAAGCTTGATTCTTTCAAGCAAAATGAACATATCTTTCATGTTATATAAACTTTTCAAGAACAAAAATCAACGCTTATTAGAGTTGATAAGAGTCAAGATGACTTGTGAGACAAGTGCGTTCATTCTCTTTCAATTTCCTAATGACTAATAGATTTATCTATAGAGAAAGCTTCCAGTTACAAATTCTTTGTTTTAGAAATGTTATGCAACATTGTGCCAAATTAAGCAAAAGATTTTATCTCATTCTATTGACTCTTAGTTAGAGTCAAAAGCTTGAGATGATCGTTGATCATTGTTTTGACAAGCTTATAATAAATTCCTTGAATCTATCTGAATATTTCAACAAGATTCATTTTCGATTTCCATTAAAATATTTAAATATATATATATATTTGGGTTTTTTCCTATTTCTTTATGCTAAACTTCTATCATTTACATTTTAACACAAACAGAAAAAAAGAATAGTTATTTAAGATATTTCGACGTATTACGATGTAATAAATCCATACATGGTCCTAATAAACGTTCAAATGATTGAACTTCTAATGAAGCTAATCGAACTTTATGACTAGCTGCAATAACAGTTGCTGATCGAGGTTCATGATTAAGTAAAGCAAGTTCTCCAAAATAATCACCTTTTTGTAAACGTTTATGACATTTTTCATTCACAACTATATCACATTTACCATCTTCGATAAAAAACATTTTATCGCCTTCATCACCTTGTTTAATAACAATATCATTTTGATAAAAATCTATTGGTATTAATGCATCAGCAACATTTGATCGTTCATAATCAGTTAATGATTGTAATATATCTACATCACGTAGAAAATTTTCATACATTTGTCGTTTACGAAATGCATGTTTTAAAACAAGTTTACGAAATGTTTGACGACCCATAACCCATAATGTACCATCAGTAACGGCAATTATTGTTGCCGAACGTGGTTGATTATACATTAAAGCTAATTCACCAAAAGAACCTGTTTGATTATATTCTCCAATTTTAATTGGTTGATTATTCGAATCACTTTCTTTTAATACATAAACTTCATAAAGACCTTTGTCAATAATATAGAAATTATCACCATCTTTACCTATTTTTCAAGAGAAAGAAAGAAACAAACAAAAGATTTAAATAAAATATCTAATGATTAATTTACCTTGTTGAATAATATGTTCTCCTTTTGTCACATGTTTTTCCCACATAGCATCAAGAATATAATCGATTTGTTTTAATTCTAATGTACGAAATAAGAAATTATAACGAACAGCTTCTCTTAAACGTTGTCTTTGTTCAAGACTTTTTGGATATGTATGAAATTCTTCATCATCAGAATCATCATCTTCTGGATTGTAGCGTTCAGCGGCGACTGATACACGTCGAGAATCATTTTTTTTTATATATTGACGCTAAAAATTTAACATTATATATTTTGAAAGAAAACAACTAAACTAAAATTATATTCATACTCGCATGTCCTCATCAGCACCAAGAACATCATCTTCTTCACTTTGATTTTCTGATGCTGTTGGTGAAATACAATTGATTGATATATTGGCTGAATTAGTCATTGTATTTTCTTTTTCTGATACTATTTTATTATTTTCCATGATCGTCGCATTTTCTAAACAATGATCTATATTAATCCTTCTCTTCTATCGATAATAAATCAATTTACATGAGAAAGAAAAAATAAGAATCAATCTTCTTCTTCTCCTATAGATTGTTTTCTTCATTTAGTTCATCAAAATATATGAATTCCTCAAATACTTGATTTTTATTAATCAAAATGCAAGAAATTTCTTTTTCATATAATGGATCTGTATTAAACATCAACTTCTAACATAAGTAGACAAAAGGTATTTTATATTCCTGTCACGCAAATATCTATCGTCTGTCTTTTTTTTCTTAATAGATATAATAAGATGAAATTTATTGTCTTTTTCTTTGCTTCTACTTTGTCCTTGAATAATATTTTGTTGTTAGCAATTCTCGCGAAGTTCAAAAAATCTGTTGAAATACTTTTTTCGAATCAATTTTAACAACTTAATTACTTATCTTATCAATAAATCAAATATGATGCATTCTCATATATAAAATAAAGGATGTTTTTGTTCAATTTATGAATAATAAGAAAATAATTAACCGTTTTTTTATATTCATTTGGAAAATATAGTAACATTCAAACAAGTTACTTACCTGAGAAAACAACATTGTGCTTTGATGCTGGTTGCTGTTGTTCACAATGACTAATGGAAGCAAAAGAAGAATAAGGAACTGTCGTGACTCTATTGTCGCCTGTCATTAGTTGTGATTGTTGTTGAAGTTGTGTAAAATATTCAACAGCATGATTGATAATATCACGTGGTTTTGTTCGTAATACACTCAATGTGAAATTACGTAGAATTACTGGTAATTCAGTTGGAACTTCAATTTGTGTCATTAATTAACTATTATAATTGCTTTAAGATCTACAAAAAAAATAGTAATTTAGAAATTTAATTTTTAGTATTGAATATAAAACAAAAATATCTATACTTTTAATAACAATAAGAGTCTTTCAAGAATTGATGTGCTGTAGAAAAAGTATTTTACCTCTTTCTCATTGTTTAAATGCATCTCGTTTTTAGTATACTGAACATTGCAATTATTTTGTCTCTCGTTAGTAAGAGATGTGCAAAATTATGATGTTATTTTATTTTGTGGTTATTTTTTTTCTATTGAAGTTTTCTTTGCCCTTTTTTCTTCCGTTCCGAAACAATTTTTTGATAATGCCGCTATTTTTCCTGCATTTTTCTTTTCTCTAGTTTCTTTTTACATACTAAGAGAAATAATAATTGAGCTTTGATAACTAGGTTTTAGCGTATGGAAAAATAACACTCTATCAAGTACTATCATTTTAAACTTGCTTATAATCTTTATCCGTAATCTGAGCATACATATATATTACAGATTACGGCTCAGCTAACCTCTCTGGTTATTCTAAGAAAAAACGGCGAAATAATTAGTTTTGTCTAGCTAATAAAAAAGAATATTTTTTTTACTTCTATTTTATGATTTCTTTCATTTAGAAAAATTATAAAATATATTAAATTCTTTTTTTTTTCTCTTACAAAAATAAGAATATAAAATGGTTACCGAGACGATACATACTCAATTTTTTTGATTTGTTATTAATAAGAAATAATATTCAGCAAGAAAGATACACGTATAAATATAATCAACATTTTACTAGCATTCAAAAATAAGTTTATTGAAGTAAATGAATGAATACCCGGTTTTTGCTATCTTTAATAATCAAATAACTGGAAAGCATTCGTGACATTTTGTTTATTTATAGTTCGTCGAATAGAGGCGTTCAATGATAAGTATATCTATCTAGTGTACTTACATTTATTAGCAGATTACATATAGAAAAATAAAATAAACAAATCCAAGGAGATTATCGTGCAAGATTATCTTGAGATGCATCCCTGCCGAAGAAAATGGCTTAAAGAAATCAAGTGAAAAATGATTACTTGTAAGATTTATGATAGTTTAGAATAAGTCTTTTTAAATGTTTCTCAGTCTAGTGTATTACTAATGATGATGTCTAATATACATTCGATGTTTACATATCTATATATATTTTCGTAGACTACGAGAAAATACATTATTATTATAGACAGTTTTCCTACCGTGCGCAATAACAATTGCAAGCACATATAGAGCGACAAGCGTAAAATATGAAAATGATGAGGTGATAAAAGCAAGAAAAATGTCGTAATTTGATAGACACTCTCTCTCGTCTAGTTTTTTTTTCTTCTTCTTCTTATTATTGGCTTTGTTGAAATAATTCATTAGAAAGAAAAACAATTCATTGCATTAATGAATTACTATACTAAAAAAGTTCAATAACCTTGTTGGCATATTATTATCGCTTCGATAAGACTAAAGAAAATGTCATAAAATAATAAAAATACTCTATGAAAAAAATTAATAAATCCAAAATAAGTTTCTTTGCATGCCGAATAATTAAGTACACACTAATAAACATATCTCGAAAAGTTAATGAACTTTTTTTATTGCTTCATTTATTTGACGAGAACGATTCTTTATTTTCCATAATTCTATGAATATACTGAAGTATCTAATACCGTGTTATATACATACCTCATCAAATTCTTCTTATAATACACCATCGACGAGAAAAAAAATTTTCTTCTGCTAACTGAACATGAAATAGTATTGCGTTAATTATAGATAAAAATGTATCATTATTTTTTTTACCATGATTATTAGGATTTCTAAGTAGCTAAATAATAACTTTCATCCTGTTTCCTCGACATGTTTCTTTTTTTAAAATAATTCATCTTCATCTATATATGAAATTATCTATAGATATTTTTAAAAAGAATAGTTCACATTTTTCATCTATATTTGTTCAATTCGATTGAATCTATGACTTGACGGATCAATGAATAAGAAAATAATTGATCTTTTGTGACATTACAACATTATTGTAGGAATATATAATGAAATATATATGAAAATTGAGTAGATGGCTAATAATAGACAAATCATACTGTTAAATAATTTGTTTATGGTCAAAAAAAAAAAGGATGAGTATATAAAAAACGAACAAAATTCAAGAGATATGAAAAAAAAAATAGTCATAGCTTGAGTATTTTTATTTGAGTTTAATTCATACGTAATTCTCGTTTGGCATATATAAAGAATCCTTTTGTTTTAATAATACCTCGATTAGCTATAACAGAATTATAACGTACAATAGATAATGGTTTCCAATTGAGTGAATCATATTCATGACAATATTCTCGAATAACACCTTGAAAATCGGATTCATTAATAACATCTAAATGAAATACATATATACATATTAATTCAAATAATTCTTTTACCAATTGGATCACTATGTGTTAAAAGTTGAATATTATGTTCTTTAACGTATTTATTCAATTCTTCTGGAATTGAACAACAAACTCCTAAATTAATTTGATTAGCATATGGTTTATGCTAAATTGAAAAAATCAAGAGTAAATTAAGTTTTTAGTAAAATATGAAATATCTTACTTTACAAGCATCACATAAATCAGAAAATAAGGGAAGCATAAAATCACAAACACCAGCTGATAAAATCTTTTGTTTATCAATATAATCTTCAATAATACGCCATAATGGTAAAAATTCATTTAATGTTATCTGTGCACCATAATTTGGTAATGATAACATGACACTTTCTAAATAATTCTCTTTTAATTCGTTTAAAACTAAATATAAACAAGATAGATTATAGGAGAATAGAAAATTAAACAAAAATAAACCTGTATCGATTGTATGCGATAATATTTCTGGTTCCAATGAACGAAGAAAGATTTTAACTAAAATATAGATTTGATATATTAAAAAAAATCGAATTTACTACTAAATAAAATAAGATATTTTCCTATAAATGGTTTTCTCGGATGAATTTGAATATAGGTTAAGCCTTGTATTCTATATAGCATGAAAAAATGTATTAATCTGTTGAAATATTAGCGAGTAAAAATCAGTATTTTCCCTTGTATTCTTAATGATTTCTGTTTAGGAAAAAATTTTACCCGAAAATTTTAAATCTTCCCGTGTTAATTGTTCATTATCTGGGCTTGCTGCATTATAATTATTTGTTACTGCTGTGTCATCAGATATCGGAAGGAATTTAACATATGTTTCATTCTAAAAATAGAGAATTTTTTTAAATAAATAAATCATTTGTTTCTTACTTGATATTGTTTTTCATTCATATCTATTCTCATTGTTTGTAACATCGTTGACATATACTCAACGATCTAATTAAAAAAAAATTTTGAACATTTTTTCTAATAGAACAGTTAAATAATACTTCTTCAGTGATACTTGTATTCGTTTTCTTCATTATTTTAAATAATGTTAATGTATTGCCTGTATAGAAAAGTATTTCTGTTGCTTTAGGAAATAATGGACTGAGTACAGGTTCAAGTTTGTCTTTGTTTTCATTCTAAATAAAAATATAAAATATCATAATTATCATTGATATTAATTTTCAAGAAAAACTGGTTGATTGATAAGTGACCAATATAATATCGGAAAAAAATTGAAGTACAGCTGTCGTACACTTCAGTAGGTATAACAAAAGAACTAAATAGTATTTTGATTGCAAAACTACTTTCAGATAATATTCTTGTTAATGTTGTGAACTGACATGCTGTTATTTTTTATATTTTCAATAATTATTCAAATAATAATATAGGAAAACTTTTGTCGTACCTGTGTATCCGATGACATGATTCAAATCGTTAATGTAACAGATGACGCTGGAGATTGAAAGAAAAAATCAAAAAAAAACAAGGTTTTTTATAGGTCTGAAAAGCAGAAAAACAAAAATTATATCGTCATGATGACAATGTAGTTTTTTTTATTATTCACGAATGGCTATCACCAAATTTAATTGAAAAAAAAGAAAAAATATATATAAAACCATTGTAAAATGAGTATTTTCTAAAATTATTAAACAACCACCATAATATCATAAATTATTTTTAAATAAATAAATAAATTAGATTAATTACTATAAATTGGTAATGGATGAGCTTCGGTATTAAATACCCATTGATTAAATGGAAATAAATTCGTTGTATCAAATAATAAATAGAGATATTTTAATGTTTCAGCTAGAAAAAAGCTTTCCATTTTATTGCGCGGTTGAACATTACTTTTATTTCGAACATCACCTATTGTTGTATAACCATTATCTATTCTACTATATTTTTCAAATGCTTGAAAAATCTTCCAACCCCACTCTTGATATATTTTATCACCAGTTAAATGATACATATAATATAATGATTCAACGACTTCAGGACGCAACAAATTATGTGTATCACCCTCCTTTTCGAGAAAAATAACAAAGAAAAAAGTATTGTTTTTAGAAATAGTTGATTATATAAATATACGTGAATGATAATTGATGATTTTGAAGAATTTGGTTCTATATTGAAATATGCTATTTCAGGACTGAGACCAGTTGGTTGTTGAGCATACATTTGATAACATGTTTCAGTTAAATTTTTTGCCATATCAAATAGATGAGTCAAGCTACGATGAAAATTCCACCCAAGTGCCATATTGCCAGCAAGAAAACAAGCCAAATGATCCTAAATATACTTTTTGAATTAGATAATGTCATAAAAAAATGTATAATTACCATTTTTGGTGAAAATGTTGTCATATCCATTAGTTCTCCGACAAAATAAAATTCTTTCGGATACGCTCTTCGCCATAGATGTTGTTGCACACCATCTGGAAAAAAATTACTATGTTTTTGATTTCTTTTAAATTCAATTTAACTTACTCATACTTTCAAACCAATCATCCCAGAAACTAAAATAAAAATGTCGAAAACAATAATATCACGTATATACTCATCGGTTTTATTAATGAGAATCTAATCAAAAAAATGCACAAGTCAAAAACAGGATGGGTGTAGACGTTCTTCTCATTTAGCATCCATACACAACGTGAGTAATTTAACTTAAATAAGCTTTAGCTAATTCGTCGTTGAAAATCCGAGTAATTGGCATGGGTTCAATGATTATAAGTTCTTTGACATTAGGCTTAAAATTAAGGATCGCAATGTGTTCAGGTAAAGATAAATGGTATGAGTGATCACCTTTATGCGCTTCACATTAATTATTAACATCAGCATGAAGAATCGCGAAGCAAAGACGATTCTCACAGCGACAATATTTGACCTTTGGACATGATTTGTTTAGTTAATATACAAATCCATTACAAATAACTACGTGTCTGCCTTCATTACTTTCCGAAAATGTTATGATAAGTCTATTACTCATAGAGAAGTAAAGAAAAAATTTGGAAAATATTTTGGTGAAAGTCTGTAGAAATGTACACGAACTACTATATATTCACAATTCAATAACTAAGGATTATCGTTAGATCCTCTTAGCGAAATAATCTGATTAGTGAATGTTCGCAATGCATTATCAGCTGATAAAAATGGGTTTGACGACATTATTAACATTCCTTCTTTCAAAATTTTGTTCTACATTCTGCTATTATAATCTTTCATCTGGTTACGAAAAAGAATTTCTCATTCTTTTATCAAATAATATTTACGAGGGTCTTTTTTGTCCTGTTTGCAACCATTGTTTAAGTAAATATTCATAATACGAATCACCACGTGCACCAAATGTAACAATAGGACCAGAAAATTTTCCAGTAGCTGAATTGATAGCAATCGATACAAGACCATCATTTTTTGCTTGATTATGAAGTGTTGCTGCTGATTTATCAGCTGCATTCTATATAAATATAATATTTTTATTTCTTATATAATTATATTAATTTAAATGAACTTCGTATTTTTTATCACCAGTTATTCGTGATAAATCACGCATTTCCAGTTGAACAGTACCAACTTCAGCTGTTGTTAACACGGACGTTGGTCTAAAAGAAAAATAAATTAAACATTTTGAAAAATTTACAAAAAATCATACGGAGATGGATTAGTAATATTTTGTTTAAGATTTATTTCTGTATAAGGTAAACCAGTCAATGAATTAAAATTCAATAAAAGTCGATCACCTAATTCAGTCTAAACATAAAATAAAAAGTTTACTCTTCGATAACTACTCTATTCTCAATTCATACAGCACGTTTTAAAAATATTTCATCCATTGTTAAATGATATATACTAAGTAGGCCACCTAAAAGTCGTATTGTTATTTCAAAATGTGAATTATATTTATCGACCGACGTTGAATCAACATTAAATGAAGTTTTTATCCATTCACGAGCTTGATTATATTCTAAAATAAAATATTAAAAGAATAATTCGAAGAAAAAGGATTTATCAAACCTTCAGTCATATTCATTATATACAATGTATCAATCGCATCAACAATAGTACAACCAAGGCCAAACCAGACTGATGGAGTTTTAGATATTGGCTCTAATTCATCATAACCCCAAGCATATGTTCGATATGCTTTCCAAGCATGTCGCATACCATCTCTTACAGCTATCTGTCGATCATTTGTTGGAGCTAAGGAAAAATATTGTGATTAATTTTTTTTTCTTTCAGAAAAAAATTACTTGAAAAAGTTCTTGCTGTTGACAATTGATTTTCCTAAATAAATAAGTACGTTAACAATTAAATCAATAATTATATTTAACATACAAATTCATTTCGATTACATCGATGTATAGATGTTTTATAGCATAATAAAGAATCATTTTGTTTACTATTACAATAGTAAATAAAAAGAAGAAAATAAATTCTCAAACAATTAATCAGGTGAGACGCTTTAGATAAATATAACTTTTCTTTTTTTTATCTTTCAAAAAAAAGAGAGATAGTATATTTAACTTACTTGAAGTTGCTTCTTTGGCCATGTTTGTTTTTCTTTATTTTTTACTGATAGATGTTGCTCATATGGAATATCTTCAATTGATTTTGTAGAATGTTTATAATAAACAACATAAACAAACACAAGAAGAAGAAGGAAAAGAGATCCAATGATAGTTGTACGTTGTTGTCTAGGTAAACGACGCCAAAACTAAATTTCATAGGATAAGAATTACAACGTGTTGCTAAGATTTACATTTAAATTAAATTCATGCATTTTTATTATTAAAAAAATGATTATAAATTTATTTCAAGTGTAAATCACACAACATACTCGATGTACCGAAATTTTTAGTGGTGGTTGAGATTTTTCATCAAAATTAACGATATAATAAGAGCCTTTCTGCATTATATTTAATAATTTTTTTTCGTTTTCACTCCATTAGATGCAGTTGAAGAGAACCTCAAAACAAGAAGAAGAAAAAAAGCGTTCGACATGACTGAGCCGACATTGGGAAAGAGAATAACCAATCGATACAAATAGTTGTATGGCGCTCGGTATTTGCTAGCTGATTGTATCGACGAATGAATAATCAGTATACTTTTTTTTATTCATTTGAAATTCTTCTAATCCCCTTAGTCATGATAGATAATAGATTTCATAAGAACTATCCTATCCTATTTATTTTCAATGAAAATTTTCAATTTTATCAAAACAAAAGATGTCTGCTAACAATAGTAGTAGTAATTCTTCCGTGACTTTAGAAAGAAATGGTCCTACATATAGAATTTCATTTACACGTGCGCAAGCTGATATTTTAATTCGAAAATATTTGAATGAAACTATAATTTCATTTGAATGTATTAATACTGGTTATAATAATTTAATTTTTTTTATTAATACTCAAGAAAATACTCAACAATATGTCATTAAAATTGGTGGTCGTTATTGGAATAAAATTAAAACTGAAGCAGAAGTTAAAGCTTTAGAATTACTTTCAAAACATACTACAATTCCTGTACCAAAAATTCTTGCTTATTCATCAGATCGAAATAATGAATTTGGTGTTGAATGGATTTTAATGACACGTTTATCTGGACAAAATATGAGTATTGTTTGTAAAACTCAAAAACTAAGTTTAAATGCAAAAAAATCAATTATTCGAGATTTAGCTGATTATATTTCTCAAATGCATTTTAAAATACCACGTTTTGATAAAATTGGTGCACTAATGATCAATGGACAAATTGGTACTGATCTCAATCAATTAGGACCTTGGTCAACTTATGAACAGTTTATTCAAACTCGTGTTCAGGCAGAAAAAAAGATTCTTAATGAAGATATTACTTTTTCATCTGTTAAAGATTCGATGCTTGATGCAATTGATCGATTTGAAAAAATTCAATTACCAATATTCTCAAATCTACCATTTGTATTTTCACATGGTGATTTAGATTTTCAAAATATATTAATATCAATTAATGATCTTGAATTACCTCGTATTACAGGTATTGTTGACTGGGAATGGGCAGGTTCATTTCCATGTTCTGAAGAATATTTTACATCGTATAATTATTTTCTTGATGATGATAAAGAAATTCGAATATATTTTCTCAATGAATTGGAAAAACGAAATATATTAACACCACGAACAATTGAACACTTTTCTTTGTTGGAAAAAATAAACCAATTTGTTACAAATTTGGCACCATGGGATCTTACTGATTTAGTGAATCCAGATTATTTAATTGTAAACAAAAGATTAGAACAAAGTAGTTCTATTGTTCTATCAGCACTCAATGAATTAGATATATGTACGAAAAAAGAGTAAAAAATAAAAAAAGAGAGAAATATATCTGAAACTGAATGACCTTGTTATTTGATGATAAATAATCGCGTTGATAAAGAAAAAGAGTTTAGAGATACACTAGATTTTATCTTATTGTTTGTCTTGTTGATAAAAAAAACATATTCGAATCAACCGTATTTGAAATTTATAGAGATAAGAGAGAGATGTTTGCACACAACAAAGTTCGTTACAATTAAAAATTGTCTAAAAGTGTAAATTCAGTTGATGTTTTTATAATAATATCATGAGAATAATTGTCCATTTTAAAATAGTTTTCGATAGGAATAAGATGGAGAGCTGTACTCAAAAATTTTCAAGAAATTGCATTTTTTCACATACGTTAAAAATTTCGTTTTTCCATCGAAATATGTTATTAGTAGTAGTCAGAAATTAAATCTTTCCTCAGTTTTGTAGCCATTATCAAACACTCTTGTCGATCATTAAATTCATATGCTGTCAATAAGAGACCTACGCTGGAAAAGTTTTCCCAGATAAATTTCGATATGTCTGCATCGTCTCTTTGCAACGGTGAAAAATGTAGCTCTCTGTCTTGTTCCTATTAGATATACAAAAAACTATGATCTATTCCATTTAATCTGCAAAGTGCAATCAAATTTCTCATTACTTCATAAAAAATATATGTTGACAACTTTGAATTTGATTTGATTTTCGATTTGAAATGAAATATTATCTTTACAAATTATTAACAGTAATAGTTTGAACTTCTCTACTTGTTTATACACTCTTTAATCGAAAACTAAGCATTTTGCAGAATTTCTTAATATTATTATTATGTATCAGTTTACAAATCCAAGATAATTCAATTAATTAGAACGACTATACATCTTCAACAAAAAAACTCCGTAATTCTAGTTAAGCATGTAGCGTCATCTATAATTATTTGAATGCATTCAAAAGTTAACTTTTATTAGAGCAAACCGTAGAGTCTACTTATATGAATAGTAATATAGCATATCATTAAATAATCTGGATTTTTATTTACTTTTAAACTATCTGATTTTTTTTCGAAGTAAAGTCGATCATTTCGACAAGATTAACGATCATGATATATCGTTTTCATTCTTAATCTAATATACTGATTTTAGGAAACTAATATATCTATTCAATCTTATGACCTTTCGAACAAGTAGTTGAGATCGAGTAAACATACTCTTTTATTTATTTTAGGTTATCTTGATAAACAAAATCAATTTAAAAAAGTAATTATTTTATTTTATTTTAATTTTCATAGTTTGAGTATTTCACATACGAGTTGATTTACTTACGTCATATAGTTTCAGAAAATGAGTCATGTTTTTACGTATGCACTTTTGAAGTAGTTCTTTTTCTATTTATATGGGAAAGTTCAAACCTTCATAAAAACAAAATCTATTATTAAAAGTGCAAAATAGATTTTTTAAAATAACGATTCCAACAGGCGTGTGTTTTCAATCACATATTCTGATTTCACCCGTTGTACATATATATATATTTTTATTTACATTAAAATAATCATGCATATCTATTTTTTTATCTTGTAGGGAATGAATGAAGATATGCGGTCAATGCGTAGTCATAGTATGGATATATCTAGGTGAAATTTAACTACAATAGTATAGATATATTAAATACTTTTCATTCATCAAAACAATAACAACAGATTTTCTAAGGTCTTCTTTTTTTTTTTATATATTTTTTTTTCAATTTATTTTGACTAATAAAAGAGAACATGATAATATGACGATGTTTTTTATTTATTAATAATACGTGTTGAATAGACAAAAGAAAAGAGAAATATTAATGCCTGATTCTTTGAAGGTGTATACGCCTTTAAAGTCTTTTGACTGCATTTTTTTCTCGTTTTTTTTTCTTCTTCTTCTTTTCTTACTCTATAGAACACACATATATATATATATATTCGTTCGCTCCATCATCATGATTTACACGACCGCCGTCGTCTCTTACTTGCAATACATTCAACATTCATGGTTATGTGTACTCTGCGTTTGAAAAAAAGGCTGTTCTTTACTTCGGTCGTTTTATTCCTTCTCAATCTCTTTTTCTTCTCGTGTCTCGTTTATGTTCACTAGTATACTGATCATTAATGCATTTATATAGAAGAAGAAGAAGAGAAAAAAATTGATTCAAAACTATAGTTAACATCTTTATATTGAAGTAACCCGACGTATTCATATCTATAAATTAAACTTTAACACATGATCTAATTTTCTTCAGATATATATATATAACTAAGCAATATGAAGTGAGTAATAGATTTTCAGTTGAACAACATACACATACAAAAGCATAGAACATAAAAGAAAAACATTTGTTATCGCAAAAGCGAGGACGAACATACTCGTGTGTGGTCTATATATTCCTGAGTAACAGTCGACGAGTATAATATACGCGAAAGGGAAAAAGAAGAAGAAGAAGAAGAAGAAGAAAGAGGCAATAGAAGTAATAATAACGGGGGCAAGTATACGAACGTTGTCTTTATATGTTTATATCGGGGCGAGAAAATCGTGTAGCAAGCTTAAGATTATGTCATTTATTTATTTATTTATTTATTATTAAAAACAACTACAATACTTTTTTAAGATTATAAAAAAGATGAATATTATACCACAACAACAACAACAAACATCAATTGTTAATCCTGAAGAAGTCACATCAGCAATAAATGCTGCATTTGCTGAATTTATTGCTAGTGAATCAACGACTACAACTGCTCTTCTTATGCATCATCATCATCATCAACAAAATATTGAGCCTACAATATCAACAATTGAAATTACAAATAATGATACTGATTTATCAAGTAACAACAGTCGACCACCAACACCTTATACAGTTTCAACACATATAAACAGTGGTATGAATTAATTATTTTTGTGTATTAATATATTTTATAATTAATTTAATATTTAGATTATCCTTCTTCTTCGTCGTCGTCATCATCATCATCTTCATCATCATCTATAAATGCAACAAGTTTACCACGTTATAAAACTCTTCTTGATAAATATACCCCAAATAATAGTCAACAAAATGCCACGACATCAAATGATAATACTTTCAATGGAAACTATCCAACTAATCCTAGAAAACGATCTATATCAAATGAATATAGTTCAGCAAAACGATTTCGTTCATTACAATCATCAACAGGTAAATTTATAACAACCATTTTCTTATTCCATAAATATTTTTTCTATTGTTTTAAAGCTTCTTCTCATCTATTACCAGTTCAAGAATGTTCATCATCATCATCTTCATCATCGGATGATGATAGTAACAATGATCTAATAGGTATATCGAATCCATTAGTACATAGAACAAATTCATTTTATGATGAAAGAAATCGAATACCAATTGAAACTATTGATTCAAGTGATGATGAAGATTCATCGAATAATCTTTTTGCTCCAATAAATTCATCAAATTCTTCATGTTCATGTTCACATCGTACATCTACAATTATTTCATCGTCACCATTTATTCAAACAAATCAACAATCGATTTCTCTTCCTCAATTACCATTACCAATACAACATAATCATAATCCATCTCATTTACGTCATCAATATCGTCAACAAATAACATCAGAATTACATCGTCAACGTTTAAGTGCATTTCGAAATCAAACATCACCATCAAGCATGCTTACAGCTGATCAACATTTACAAGCTCTATTAACAAATTCAACAACAACAACAACAGCAACTAACTCTACTACTCCTACTAATAATAATGTACATGCACATTTAACGATTCAATCGACTTCAACATATAATTTAAGTCCAAATATGCAAGTAACAACAAGAATTGATAGTAATCCATGGCCACCAACACCTTTATTATTTCGTACATTTCGTAATCCACTATTTCTACATAATAATGAACATGTTCTTGAAGAATTATTACGCATGGAAGAACAATTAAATGGTTTAAATTATTCGACTAATATAGGTGCCAATTCTGAACATATTGATTGTCGAACATTATCATATAAATATACAAAAGAAAATTCTTCTATGGAAGAAAAATGTACAATATGTCTATGTGAATATGATCATAATGAACATGTACGTCGTTTACCATGTATGCATCTATTTCATATTGCATGTGTTGACCGATGGTTAATACAAAGTAAACGATGTCCAATATGTCGAATTGATATTGATTATCGAGGAGATTTTGGTGATTATGTATGTTAGAATAATAATAATAATAATAATAATAAATATATTGTTTTGTTTTTTTCTCTCTCGTTCTGTATAAATCTTCATACAAATTATACTTGTATTTTACGACTTGAAAATAGATTTTATGTATTTTGATTTTCAATATATATATATATAATTAACACATATGACTAGTTTGTTTTCTTTTCGTTCAATTTTTTTCATAATAAAAAAATCGTTTTCGTTTCCTTTTTACTACATATTTAGATTAACATTTCTATAGTCAGTTATCTCAAATAAATGTTGGTATAAAAATGTTAGTATGTCGTTCGTATCACATTAATACAATGTGCGTGACTCTTAATCACGTAGGAAAAAAAAATAACGAGAAAGTGTATGATTTTTCTCTCATTTCTTTTTTTTTTTCATTTCGTTCTATGCTTCTATTCAACGCATTATTAAAAAAAAGAAAAAAAAATATAGTAGACGCCCCGTCTACACTTCTTCTTACTCATACTCATGGTGATGTATGTGTCGAGTTTATACACATTATATTTCTTTCTCTCAAACAAAAAAATAACATTCACCATGACAGTACTGCTAACTACGGATATAAATAATATGTGAATTGAAGCGAAACAAAAATATAGTATCATTTGTACGTTTTTTTGTTTTTTCAGATGTTTAATCAAATCTGGACTTTTTTAATATGGTTATTTGATTATATATTAACAATCCTTCAAACTTTACCACGTGATTTACGAGGCCTTTATAAACTTATACGACATACTTGTTTAATCCATTATTATATATATCGAAAACGAGACTTTATAGCTTTATTTCGTGATAATGTTAAATATTATAAATCAAAACCATGCTTTATTTTTGAAGATACACAACTTTCATTTCAAGATGTTTGTTTATTTATTAAAAATCAACTAATTTAAATATATATATATGTATATATTTTATTCTAGGTTGAGAATTTAACTAATCAAATAGCAAATTTCTTCCTAGCTGAAGGTTATTCTCATGGAGATGTTATTGCACTTGTACTAGATAATTCGATAGAATATCCATGTGTATGGATTGGTTTAAGTAAAATTGGTTGTATAACAGCATTAATTAATTCAAATCTACGTGCTAGACCCCTTCTTCATTCCATTGGAACAGTTAAAGCCAAAGGTATTATTACATCCAAAGAACTTCTTCCAGGTAAATATTTATCTATGTTGAAATAAATTTGATTTGTTTTTTTTCTGTTATTATAAATTGAAAATGAATTAAAAGAATTAAATATAAATAAAGTTTATTTATTTGATCCAAAGCCTTCATCAACAGTAAAAATAAGTAATGGTCATTCATCCATATCATCAATAGAAACCATTCATTTATATGATAAACTTGAACAATGTTCTATTCAACCAACTAAACCTATTCCATATAATTTAAGACGTATGTATTTAATTATTAGAAAGATAATTTTAATAATTCATTTTTTTTACTAGATCCTGTCTTCTATATTTTTACTTCTGGAACAACAGGATTACCAAAAGCAGCTGTTATTAAACATTCAAGGTTAGTATCTATTGAATTTCATTCTAATATTAAATCGGAGTCTCAACTATTAGATTTTCTCATCATTTTGAGGTGAATAAAATATAATTTATGATCAACACCTTAGTTATTCTTCATTTCAAGTATAAACATATTACTATGTTTTAAATCATATACTATACAAATAGATTAAAATATAATATCTGACTGTTTACTTTGTATTAGAATATTTTAAATTTGAATAAAACGTCTGAGAGAAAAGAATTATTTCGAAGTAATTTAGATTAGGGGCATGTTTAGATTTGAGTATACTTATTTACATAACCTAGCAGTAACTATGTATCTATTGATTAATTAGCAGAAGAAAATATTATATGACAAAGCGTAGAATAACGGTTGAACATACTATTACATACAACAACAGAAAAATGAATCCTGATGGATTTTTTAGTCCCTTGTTAATCGATCTATGTAAGTGGAATCAGAGTTTATTAGAATCTAAAGCGACACTTCACAAGGTAACATACCAGTTCCCAACTAAAATAAAATAAATGTTCTTTTATGACCTTTTAACAAAAATTTATACAAGTATCATAAATAATTCTTTTTGTTTAGATTTTTACTTGGTTCACTTGGCTTCCTTGTAACAACTGGTGTTACCGATAAAGATATTATGTATGATACTCTTCCATTATACCATTCATTAGGTATATATTTTTATAAAGGATAAAATCTATCAATATTCTAATCTCTTTTTTTTTCTTTTTATATGGTATTAGGCGGTTGGATTTGTATTACTTACAGGTAATATTTACATTAATAATTATATGAGAAAAATGATCTCTTTATTAGCCTTTTGGGTGGTTGTACAACAATATTACGTAAAAAATTTTCTGCTTCTAACTTTTGGAAAGATTGTGTCAGATATAAATGCACAGTAATATAAAAATAGTTATGCATAAATAACATGTATATTTTTCTTTCTTTTTTTCAAAAAAAAGGGTTTTACGTATGTTGGCGAATTATGTCGTTTTTTACTTGCTCAACCACCTGGTGAATATGATCGAAAACATTCAATAAGACTTTGTTCGGGTAATGGACTTCGACAAAATTTATGGACATCATTTGTTGAAAGATTTAATATACGAAATATTTATGAATTTTATGCTGCAACGGAAAGTAATGCATATTTTTTTAACATTGATTCACGTCCAGGTGCTTGTGGTTTTTATTCATTAATTGTTCCTCGTGCACTTGGTAGTGTACTTGTTCGATTCGATCCAATAACAATGGAACCGATAAGAAATGAAAAAACTAAATTATGTGTACGATGTAAAACTGGTGAACGAGGTTTATTATTAGGAATGATTGGAAAAAATATATTACATGCTTTTGATGGGTATGTTAATAATCCATCGGGAACAAATAATAAAATTGTTGATGGTGTTTATAAACAAGGTGATCGCGGTTTTAATACAGGTATGATTCTTATTAATAGAAATTTCTATAGTTTAAACAATATTTTTGATTCATAGGCGATGTTATGGTAGCAGATAAATTTGGTTATTTATATTTTTGTGATCGTACTGGTGATACATTTCGTTGGAAAGGTGAAAATGTATCAACAGTTGAAGTTGAAAATATACTCATGGATATTTTAAAACAAAGTGATATTATGGTTTTTGGAGTTTCAATACCAGGTTCGTTTAATGATGTGTTATGTCAAGAAAAACAGATCATTTTATCTTTTAGAAACTGATGGAAAGGCAGGAATGGCTGTTATTCTTAATAATTCCTCAACACCAATTAATATAAAAACATTACCAAATGAATTAAAAACACATGGTTTACCTCCCTATGCTCGACCATGTTTCATTCGTATTACTCAACATATTGAATTAACAGGTTAGTTGAAAGTTTAATTGATTTAATATAATGCGATTTTTATTTTAGGTACATTTAAAGTTAAGAAGAACGATTTTCAAGAGAAAGGTTATGATGTAAAACAAATTACTGAGCCAATATACTATTTAAATCAAAAACAACAGATATATGAAAAATTAACACCTGAAATATATGATTTAATATTAAACCAAAAGATTAAATTCTGAACAAAGAAATCTCAATCATTATTACTCCTGGATCTATTCTATTTACATTCCGTCCTATGTGATCTTTTATCTCTTTTCTAGTATATTGCGTGATATTTCTCATCGTGTTTTTTTTATCTCACGTTTATTTTCCCCGTGTTTTGCTATATTGAGTAAATCCATTACAAAAAATCGAACAACTACAGACATTGATTATTTATTGTTTTTTTTTGTATGAATTGATCTTCGTCTTCTTTTTCTATATAAAATTCTCGGATCTGACTTTTCCATACGATGTTATTTCTTAAAACACTTGTTGCTGTTGTTATTGTTGTTTTGAGTTTCTTTTTTATACTACACACTTTTTTTAGATGGGCGTGCCTTCGCAAGTGGATCGATACTTTTGAAAAACAATTCTTATACATTTTAGTTTGTTTTTCAAAAAAGAAGAATAAACATAAAAATTCATTGATTTATTTTATATAATTCGTTTAATATTACTCGCAGAATATGAATACATACCATAGCGATAGGACGTATCATTGGTAGTCAGACCGACCATTCTTAATTTAGTAAGAATATTAAGACAAAGTAATCGTTCTTTTTTTTTCGAAAAATATTTGCAGTCTCTTCCTAAGTATAAATGATCTGAAAATCAGTAGATGATGTATCGAATCGCAGAGTCGTACAAGATTTGCTGTCGATTTAATTTATGAGTTCATAAACCTTAAATCTATGGATTTTTTGTTCTATTTTTTACTTAATCAAAAAAACTTTATAAAATTATAATAGGGAAACACAAATTTGATTGTTTAGAATAAAATTCGTATGTAATTATTTTTAGATTAACTATTTTTGACGAACAAAATAATGAATTTCGACAATTTATGTCATATATGTCAATTGAAATCAGCACCGTATAAATGTCCAAGATGTCAAATGAAATATTGTAGTTTAATCTGTTATCGTGATAGATTACATAAAAAATGTTCGAAAGAATTTGATGAAAATGAGATAATTGACTCAATGAATATTGATGAAGATCAAGATCAAAATCAAAATCAAACAACAACAAATAATTTTGTACGAGAACGAATTGAAGATATTTTAAAAAGAAAAGTAGATGAAAAAGAATTTTATAATGAAGAAGATGATGAACAAATTGAAGAATTATTTGAACATATTTTACCATCGAACGATTCAGAAATGTATCGAGAAGTAATTATAGACCACAGATATATAGTTTTGAATTTTTGATTATTATTTCTATAGGAAGCACCTATCGATGATGATGGTGATGATGATGATGAAGCTGAAGAACGTATTGCAAGTGATGACGAAGACCCTTTACCTGCGTTACCTAATGATATGGATGAATCCGATGAGAATATAAATCAATTGTGGACTTATTTAACAAGTGAAGAAAAACATGAATTTAAATCCATGTTACATGATGGGCGTATTTCACATTTACTTAATGATTATAAACCATGGAAACCTTGGTGGTTATATAAAACACAAGCACCTGCTCTTATTACAGATCTAGAAAATACAACAACGCCTTCATCATCTACTTTACCAGATACAATTCCAATAACTATATCTAATATTGTTCCACTTCCATCATTAACATCAATTCTTCCTCATATTTATGTTCGATTTGATGTTTTTGAAATACTTTTTGCTTATGTTCTTATTAGTATTCGTTATCGTGGAGATTTTCAATCATATATATCAGAAGCAGGAAGTGAATTTTTACATATAGCATCAAGACATATAACACAAAAAGCAACTATATTTGATGAAGAACAAGATTCAATATTTATTGTTCAAACACGTATTTCATTACTTCGTGAACATTTACAAGATCAAACATTATCCTATCATATATCTGAAGAATTTTTTGTTAATCTATTAGCGGATATTCTAAGTATTATTCATGGTTCATATCAAGGTCAAACATCATCAAATATCTATGTATTAGCAGCATTATCAGAACTTAAACGATTTCTAATACAAATTCAAGAATATAAACCATCAGTAGAATCAATTGCAAATGAAGAATTAAATAAATCAACACCAGGAATGATAAATGTATTTCATACGAATCGAAAAATTAAGCCAAAAATAACATTAAATCGATCTGTAAGTTATTTAGAGAAAAAGAAGTTGATGAATTAATATATTTTTCTTATAGAATAATAGCAAATTATGTATTCGTTCTGAACCGAATGTATCAAAACAATCTGAATCAAAGAAATTAGTAAAAAATCAAAAGCTAAAACCATTCAATCGTAAAATAGTTCAATCTCTTTTACATAAAATTGATTATCTTCTAAGTTGGACAATAACCCATTCAGATCGTCTTAAAATACTTGAATATGAATTAGAACAAATCGAAGATAATCTTCGTCATGAACTTACTCAATATCAACGTGATAAAAATCGAATTGAAAAAAATTTAAAACACATTCGTTTACATCAACAAACAACAAATGGTTCGAATCGTATACAAGAATTGTAAACTATTTATATATTTTTTGTTAAATGAATAAATGAAAGAAAGACGAGTAAAAAAAATTATTGTTAATCGTCTTATGGTTATTACAGACATCTATTCTAGTTTTTTTCTCAATTAACGGGAAGTTATTGAATGATAAAACTAGTTACAATTTGGTTCTATGATTACTTCATTAATGAAAGTATTTAAGCTACATGAATATTGCAAAGTATTTTCTTGTATACATAGATGTCATTCTGTTGTATAAATCAAGAATGATGATGACATATGTTGAGAATATATTCTCAGTCCGTTCCTTATCTTTCATTGTACATTGGCTTCGTTATTTTACGTGTTGTATGAAAAACAACTATTTCAAGATTCGAACAGACGATAGAATTTATGATATGTCAAATGTATATATGATTGTATTGTATTCTTAGATAAACTGATCTTTTCATCATTTGTTTAAAAAAATGAAAAACTTTTTGTTAACGTTAAGCTAATATTGTTGATATGTCTAGGATTCATGACTTTTTCTTATTAATAAAAGAATTTTTCCGCGAAATATTCCGTAGACATAACATTAGACTCGTAATATGCTTACTAAACAACAAACATAAACGTAAGATGTGTACGTTGGAATGATAAAGATGACGAGCAAATTTCCAAGGTCTTATTTTATCTATAAACTGATAATAAAACAACTTTGAGAATAAATAGAGATGCTGCGGTTATTTGACTAAAATGTTAGTAAAAAGAAACATGAAAACCCCTACCAATAACTATGGTATTGAAGGACTCGAACGTCCAACAACAGCTGAATCACATCAGCCATCTACAATCATTAAATATATGGGTCATCGTACTATAGGTGTTAATGTTCCGAATAGTTATCAGGGTTCTCTACGTAATTTTGTTCTACAACAAAATGGATCCACATATAATAAATCAGCACCGACATCAACCAATCATGGATTTGCTTCACTTGTTCATAGCACATCGTTTTCTACATTAACTCCACTTCATAGTATCGATGGAGATCGTGCTATTGATGAACAACGTGAATTATCGAGAATCACTGATACTTTAACAGAAAGTATACTACAATGTTGTTCCTTTCAGGCACATAATTGTGCGTTAGAATTACAAATTGAATGGCTTGAAAATAATACAAATAAAAATACTTCGACGATTGATAAAATGTTTCGTCAAGAAATTCAAACAGCAAATCATCTAATTGAAGATGCATTGCGTTCTAAGCCTGATTTAGAAAAAAAATTGAAGGATATTCATCAAACAACACTCGCTAATGATGGACAATATCAACAACTATTATCAAAGCGAAATACAACGAATAAAGAATTATTTGAATATCATCGAAAAATGGCACAAATTCGAGCTGAATCTGAATTCTTACGTTGTCGTTTACAACAATTTAATGATGAAATACAATTTTATACAGTAAAAAATGATTCATTAAACATACGACAAGTAAAATTACGTTATGAATTAGACGAAGAATTATTTGCTAAACATGTTCTACAAATGGAATTCGATGTATTACAAAGTGAAAAAATTACACAGGAAGATGTACATTTAGCAGCTGTTGATGAAATTCGAGGTTCAATTGATACGACACAAATAGCAACAGTTCAACCATCGAATTATTATCGTGAACAATTAGGTCATCAAGTACGTCGTTTTAGATCGGAATATGAAAAAAAAATTGAAACATATAGAGATGAGTTACATCGAAAACTTGAATTAGAATTACATCGTTATAAAACACTTACAATACGTCCAGTACCAGTCGTAACACGAGAACACGAGGAAAAATTAGATCAATTTAATCGTGAGAAAAAAATTACTGATCAACAGATTAGTTCCACACGTGGTTCTATCAAAGAAATAGGAAGTCAAATAGAAATTTTAGAACAACGAATTAATGATGGTAATGTTGAACTTAGATCAACATCAAATGCAGAAAGACATTTAGCAATGCTCGAACAAATTATTCATGAAAGAGAAAAACAATTTAACGATGCTCTTCGTATTCGAGGTGAATTTAAACAACGAATTGAAAAATATCGTGAAGAAATTCATAGATATCAAACAAAATTAACACACGATACTTATGATACGAAAGAATTACAAGAAATTTCAAAACGAAAATCAATTCTTCGATCATCATCAGCACATGATGTTAGAGGCAATAGTTATCATGAAGAATCATCATCATCACTAAATACTACTCAAAGAAATTCTTTGTTATTATCTATGAATCAAAATATAACTAATCGAATAGATGAAAGATCATCAACAGTAGGAACATTAATTCAATCCACTAATTTTAATGTGGAACAAGGTCGGAAGTCAAGATTATTTTCATGAGAATACATATATACATGTTTCTTTTGTTTTGTCTGTATTTAGATTGCAGAGAATTAAATAAAATTTTTAATCAATCTTATATAGATGAAGCAGCTATTATAAGAATACTTTGTAATCGTAGCGTTAGTCAACGTCTTCAAATTCGTGATATTTATAAAAATCGTTTTAATAAAGTAAGATTATTAATAAATATCGTAGAATTCTCATTGTACGAGTTAGAATTACGAACAAACTTGCTAGCGAGGGAATTTCATCAACTGATACACTTCATTTGAGCTCATAAGTAAGACGGATTCGCTTACGTAGACATTCCGAGAAGGATTCGTTATATATTTTCAGTATATTGTAAGATATTACGAAAAAACAATCGCAACAAGGAATTTTGCCCAGCAATAGATCTTACAACATGCGGAAAATTCAGTAAAATGATCCTAATACGAGAGAAACGGCCTACCGGAACAAATTCTTCTTAAGATTTTTTTGTAAGCTATGCGTGCTACTCATGAGAAATAAATGAGCTCAAACGAAGTGCATCAGTTTTGATTGTTCAGCGATAATTCAACTATTTTTTCTAACCTAAAGAAATATCACGTAATTCATTCCAGAGACTTTTTTGATATGTATTTGTTGTTAAGTAACTACGAATCATCTCCTGTTAGTTATTTATTACGAGTATAATTAGCTTTGAATTTAATTTCCGTATTGTAATCATCTAAAAAGTAAAGAAATATGTGTTCGATAGTTTTACAAGATAAAACTCTAGTATACAATTATTTTATTAATTTAGAATTTAGGTGACATTATTGAAACTGATGTAAATGGAGATTCAAAAAGGATTTTAAAACTACTTTTATTATCACCTATTGAACGTGATTGTTATGAATTAAGACGTATATTGAAAGGACAAAATACTGCTGAAAATATTCTTATTGAAATATTTCTCACAAATTCTAATAAACAAATAAAAACAATTATTAATTATTATTTTCAATGTAAGTTAAATCTAATTTTTGATATATATATATTACATTTTCGATTTATTTTCAAAGTATTCAATAATACACTTGAACAGGATATTCGTAATGATCGAGAAAGTCCATCGAAACAAATATTTCTTTCATTACTTCAAGCAAATCGTCCAGAAGATAATAGAATCGATGAGGGTCAAGTATTGAATGATGCTCGAAATTTATTCGATTCAAGATCTAAATGGCAAACAGATGGTTCAACATTTATTCAATTGTTATGTAATCGAAAGTATACTCTTATAAATTATCATTACTTTGTTATAAAAAGATTATTTTGCTTTATTTTAGTAATGCACATTTAAAACAAACCTTTGCTGCTTATCAACAATTTAATAGATTTGATATTGAACAAAGTATTCGAAATGATACAAATGCTGATCTTAGTCGAACATTAATGGCAATCGGTATGTTTTTTTTGTTATTACGTTAATCACCATTGTTTTGTTTTTGACTAGTTCGAATTATACGAAATCAAGCACGTTTTTTTGCTTATGAATTACGAAAAAGTCTTAAAGTAAACACAACTCATTTATTGTTAACTAAATAATTTCTTTCTTTTCAAGGGTTCAAGTACTAATGAACATAATTTAAGTCGTATAATTGTTTCAAGATGTGAAATTGATTTGGTATCAATTAAATCTGAATATGAAAAAATAACTCCACGTACACTTTTCGATCATATTCAGGTTGATTTTTATTAATAAAATTATTTTTTTTAAAATCAATTGATTATTATTCTAGACGGATACAAAAGGAAATTATAAACGAGCACTTCTTGAATTATTACGTCAACGTATTGAACCAGCTAATAAAGAATTATTAGAACCAATATTTAATAATCGACCAACTGTAAAATGGCAAGAACCAGTTCAAAAACAATCATTTGGACGAAGTAAAAGCACTCGAGATATTAGTGATATAAAACAATTCGATCGTGATAATCAAGGAAAAATGTCTACAATATTAAGACTTCCTACAAAATCACAATATGTTGAACGACGTACAGTAGATAAATATCCCAATACAACTGATAATCAAAATGAATATTAACATTAGATAAAAATCTTGTTTTTTTTTCTTTTTATAGCAAAGAAATTTTCTAGTAGAGTTTAGATTATTCTGTTAAGTTCAATATTAGCTTATTAACCTTTTTAGGACGGGATTATTTTTTGAAGAAAAAAACAAAAATAGATTTTAAAGAATCAAATGATCGGTCCAACTAATAACACTACGCTCACTTACGTATGCAACAGAATCAATCATGAAGATACGGCATAATAGTTTAGTGTAGAGAAGAAAAGAGACTATAACGACGCAAATCATATCAGATATATGTCACTGCTAGAAGCAGGTTCTAACGTGTACACAAGTACTTCCCATTGTTAATATAAAACATATTTCTGATAAAAAAAGCACCGTGATATATATACGGTGTACCACCCGTCCCGAAAGGGTTAATTCAAATGCAACAGCTGTATAATTTACACATATTGATAGAAAAAGAAAGAGCGAGACAAAATGCTTGATCACTTTTTTTCATTTCTTTCTTTTCTATTTCTCATGATAGTTTTGAGAGAAGAGAAAAAGAGATGTTTCTTCGCTTCAATGCGTTTGTTCTTTATATATGATCTCATTTTTACATATGATAATGTTTAGTAATCGACAAGTTTATGTCGTATTGTTACGATAGATGTCAAGTAAATGAAATTTAAAATTAGAATGTTTACGAATTGTATTAAAGAATTCTTTTCATTTCTTTTTATTCTTATTATAACATTAATTGCTGGACCGATTTTAAGTACATCTTATTATTATTCGAATAAATTCAATTATACTTCATATGGTTTTATCATTATGATTATTATTGGATTAACAGATTCTATTCTATATGGAATTGGTTTATATTTATCTATGAAATCAGTTGATGAGTTATATAATCAACAGATAATTATCGATAGAAAACCTATTGATTATCATATAATTCAAGAAAAACAATTATTAGAACCGGTTAGTGAAACAATTGAATTATTCCTTCGAACTCAAACAGATTTATATGATTTAATAGATGATTTAATTAAAACGAATATAACAGATGATATATTAATACAAAATAGTCAAAATAAATTACGAACATTAAAATTTATTCAAAATGATAGTCTAATGACAATTAAAAATAATATTAGTGAACGTCTTCGAATACTACAATTGAATTCATCAGTTAGTAAAATAAATAAACAATCAATGCATACTTATTTTAATCATTCAATACTATCAAATTCGTTTATATTCAATCGAATTTATTTCTATATTTTTACATATTCTTTTCTTCTGTATCTGCATCAATTTGTTTTATGGATTTTACAATATTTATCTTTGAAAAATTCGAGGAAATATCATTCATATTCATTTATTATATCTATAGTTATACTTAGTCAATCATTAGGTTTAATTTATTTTCTTCAAGTTACAAATACATTTTATTTTCTTTCTCCAATATATTTTTATACTTCGATTTTTTTTCTACGAAGTTTAATAAGTATTTATCATAATTGTTTTTCTACTTAATAAAAATATATAGTACGAAAAAAGAATAGAATATTTTAATGAAAATTTATTCAAATAAAATAATCAAGTTTGTATCTTTTATTAATATTTTAGAAGTTAAGAATGATCTACATTATATACAATTAGAATCTGATACACTTTATAATACAAACAGGTCGGACTAAAAAATAAAGTAAATCCATATGTTTTCCGTCCTTTGTCAACTAGTCAAACTAATATTATAGACAGTGCTTTATTTAGGTTTCGTTTTTCGGATGGGCGAATCAAAATTTAGAGTGAGTGGCGTTTATCCAGCGCCCGCTCGGATCATCTAAAATATATAGCTACTGTATTTTTTCGGGTGGGTCGACCGAATTTTAGGGTGAGCGGCACTCACCCAATCCACCCGTTGGATAAAATACTGATTATAGATCACATAAAAAAACGGTGATTGGAACTACAGTCAGATGCAGCTAGACATGTACCAAAACTCAGAATCGTAATAGAGAATAATCTTATAGCTAAAGAAGAAATTGAGTACAGCAAGGCATCAAACAACATTATCGAAATTTTCTCTTTTCACATTCCGTCGGGTGGGTCAATCGTTTTATGTAACGAAAAAAGATTCTATAATCAAGCTCAATACACAAGTATACCTCATTATCTAACTACAAATTTCTGTCGACTGTAAAATACATACTAATTTCGACTATAAATTATCAATATAAGTTATATCAATGTCATATATTCCAATAGCAATAATTTTAGTTTTTATATGCATTGTATAATTCATCTTTCTTACACATTACGATGTATTTCTAATAAAAACAGAAATACGAAATTATTTTATTAAAATAAAAATATTTAATTTGAAAACAAACAAAAAATTTTTTTTTGCATTACTGTTTTTCTGCCATAATAATTTTTCTCCAGTCAGTATCATGAACTAAATCTTTAAATACTCCTGCTCGATAACCACCATCACCACTTAGATGCCAACTTAATCGATTTTCTGAATTATCTTTTTCACCATAATCTGCACAAAAACAATTTATAACTGAATATGATGGAGCAAATCCAAATGAATAATCTGGTGTTAAATACCAATTAACATTACCAAATTTTGTTGGTTCATTCAATGGACTATCTAATAATAAAATTTCTGATGGTCCCATCGCTGCTAGTTTCAATATTGTTGATGAACTTCCTTGAATAGCACCAACAATAATCTGTTTTTTACATCGTAATTTTAATTCTGGTAATTCTTCAACAGTTGTTACATGACCATAAGTAAAATCATAAATAATTTCCCATGACGATGGAAGTGATGATAATGATATATCATGAACAATACCTGATGCAAAACCACCTATTATATATAAATTTACTGTTGTTTCAAGTTCATGAACATATTGTTCTAAATTTTCAATTTTTTTTTCTAATGTTTTTGATTTTTTATTACTTATATCTAACATATTTATTAAACATTCTAATTGTTCATGTTTTTGTTTTTGTTTATAAACTTGATTACATCGTTTACATTCAATTCGAACTTTTCCACAATTTCGTTCATGTTGATATAAATCTTTTTCTATAATTTCTTTTTGACATCCACGACAACATTTCATTTTATATTGACATTGTTCATTTTGATGTTTTTCAATAAATTCATATGATAATATATCATTACAACCATTTAATTTATTTTCACATTCAATTTTTAATTTCGTTAATAAAGCATAAAACATTGGTGAACAACGTTTCTCTTGATAATGTCTACATAATGGACATGCATCAAATTTTTCTTTTAGACATTCATCAATACATGTTTTACAAAATATTCGTTGACAATTTTCACATTCAACTGGTTTCCATAATAAATGAAAACATATAGGACAAAGATATTCATCATCAATTTCATTAGGACTTACAATACGTTCTTTGGGAATTTGCATTTAAAATCAATCTAAAAATTAAATAACCATACGAGGAAAAAGTTCACTGAGTATTTCTTTAATAAAGATTTAACATTAGTTTTTAATATCTCAAAACTACGATCTATGATTTCAGAAGAATTATTAATATTTACTTATATTGAAACTGTCTATAATCTGTTACATGAAGGTTAAATAAACATACCATTGAGACATATTTTTGCACCTTTACTTAGAATCTTTAAAATGTATTTAATAAAGAAAAAAACGTCTTTCTCAACACAATCGATTATCCATTCAAAGAGAAAAGAGTGCGACGAGAATTAATTTTAGAATTTCTTTTCATTTAAAATATGATGCCATCTTTGAAGCCTTCAAGATATTTGATGACGAAAAGAACAACATTATAATACGTTAAACAAGGTTTTTTCAAAGAAAAAACAATATGTAAATGCATCAATTTGCATCACCTCAGTTTCTTTTTCTTTATCAAGAAAGAATTGTTATTATCATGAAATAATACTCCCTGAAATTTATATTCTTTCTTATATTTATAATAATATGAATTGTTAAAATCAAATAATTTATGAAAAAAAGATTTTCAGAGAAAAGATTAAATTACCGATAAAAAAAACACACATATAGATGTTTGTTTAATGAACATAAATTTAAATTTTTTACAAAAAAAAGAAACCGGGAACATATTCGAAGAAAATGAATAATTAAAGTAAAGAAAAAAAAAAATATTATCATTTATATATTACGAAAGTGATTACAATTTGGAAGAAAAAAAAAATTGCACATAATAAATTATTTGATTATATGCATGCATATATTAATTAAAGATATCAAATGGATTATTGACTTGAGGTTGATTAGAAAGATTATTACTATACAATGGTTGAGCTGCAAATGGATTTGTATTAACATGAATAGGTTGATTACCTATATTATTGAAGTTCATCTGCTAAAAGAAAATATTATTCAAGGGCAAATATATTTAACGAAAACATACTGATGATCCATTAGAAACAGCAAAAGGATTAGTTGTTGTTGATGCGGGTGGTGGTTGTTGCCACATATTATTTGATTGAACACCCATCTGAATAAAAATAAGTTTATACAAATTTTTAATTAAGTAAGATTTACGTACAACACCATTAGTACCACCAAATGGTGCATTGATTATTGTAGAACTTGGCCATGTTGTTCCTGGAGCATTCATAGTTCCATTAGTTACACCAAGTTTCTGTTGTCCTTTTCCATCATTTGGTGTCCATTGATGATCTTTTCTATTAAATAAAAACATCTCTTTTCTTTTATTTTATAAAGTTTTATTAGCAAATTTTTTACCCAATTTTCGAATGATCTTTTATATCAAGATTATCAATTAATTGATTAAGTGATGAATTAAGATCACCTGATTTAAGTGGTTTAAGAGGTGGTAGAACATTTTGATTCGTTGGAAATAATGAATATGTATCTGTTGTATTGTTTGTTGATGTTGAATTTGGTTGAAGAACATCATCAAAAACATTTCCTAAATATGATTGATAGTATTTAAAAAGTTGACAAAATATTGAAATTTATTTACGTTGAGGTGCTGATGTATCAAGTGTATTATCAAACATAGGAAATGTATTTGCAACTGGTGGAGCAGATGATGGAGCTAATGAAAATATATCATCTGAGAATATTTCTTGTTGTTTTGATTGATGTCCGTTCGATGGTATGTGTTGTGTTGAGAAATCTGTACCACCAAAACCATTTCCATTCGTAGCTTTTGCTACTCGTGGAGAAACTGGTGGTGGTGACAATGAAACTTCTTTTTTCTAAAGGAATTAAAAATAGTAGTGATGTCATAATGTAATGACCTTGTTGGTTCGTGCTTATTTTAGTTTTTATGGTGTGGGTGTGAGATAAGAACAAAGCTCACACCCACACCCACCCACATCCTCCATGAGATATCCCCAAAGTATACAAATAAAAAACACTTCCACGTCACAAACGATTAGTAACCTACTAGATCTACTACGTATCTATCTCTTCGCTATTGTCTAAAACGTTCCTAATCAATTAAATTTTACTGTCTTTCTTCTTTACTACAAAAACAATATGACAATTTTCATCATTGATGAACCTGAATTTTTGATTCTGAAATAAAAAAAACAAACCTTAGGAAATTGTCCGAATGCTTTATCTTCTTCAACATGTTTTTGTGGATCATTAATATTATTGACAGATAAATCACGTGGAAAACTCTTCATATCTTGTTCTGTTAGTTGTCTACACAATACAATAAAATTTAAATATAGCATATATCGAAATCATAAAATTCACTTTGTGCTTAATGTTGATGATAATGTCGTCTTTTTGCCTTCTATATGTACTAAATGATTTTCCAAAGCTTCCACAAGACTACTTGGCGCCTAAAGGAAAATTTAAAATTATAAATAAAATTTATTCAAAAATATAAATTCTAAGCAAACACACAGTTCTCAGGATCAATTGTACTCACTTTATTTTTTTCAAGTGCCTAGATATATGTATTATTACGACTAATAACAAATTCATTTTATTTATAATAACTTACTTGAATTATATCAGAAATATCCGCACGTTCCATGCCAGATGTCTAGAATACGATTAAAATAATAAATTTTCATTTTTTATTAAATCATTTATATTAGTAACGATCAAAAAATTTAAGAAGTGATATGTTTACTCTTGAATCAAATGCTATAGATATAATAAGCAAATAACTATACTACCTCGCCGCAAAAAGATCGATCAAATAATTCTTCAAAACGCTAATATTTTCTTTTTTAGTTTGTTTTATTATAGAAAAAACCTAGTTCAACTTACTTCAGCTATTTTAAGATATTGTGAAACTTTATCAGTTGAATCGATAAATTTTTTATATATATCAAGTGCTTCACGACATTGTTTTTTATTCATATGAAAATATTGTTCTATAGAATTAAATTATGATACAAAAATAAAGTAAAGTATGAATAAAATTCTTACCAATTAAATTAATTATTCCATCATTAAAAGCAGTATATAAACGTATAAGATCTTTGATAAGAAGAAAAAAGCAACTGTTGATAACACCATTTATTAGTTCATTAGGTGAAATCTAAGATATAACAAAAAAATAGAGAGTTGTTTTGATGTATCACGAAGAAAAATAATTCTTAACCACACCCACACCCTACTTACATCAAAATTAAGTAAAGCATCAAGTTGTTTTTGAAGAATAGGTAAAGCTTTTAATAACTAAAATAAAATCTCAATAGGATTTTTGATATAAAATCAATAAATTCTACCTTATCACTGGGTAATGTTCGAAGAAATCCATCATCTTTCCTATTAAATTAAGTATAAATATACTTTCTTATTTTTATTTCAAATATAAAATTATTTACCCTCGTTTTATTTTACAGAAATCATAGCCCATTAATTTATAAGATTCACGTTTTTCATATAAATAAGTTGCATATCGACGAAGATACAAAGTCATATCAAGACTACCCATTCCCGTACGATCAGTATAAGTAGTTGATTGAAGATGATGATTATGTGAAGCCATATAAGCTTCAAAACGCTTCAAAGACAGAAAAAATAAGAACTAAAAAATGAAATGAAAATGCTTTTTACTTCATTTCCATGAGACATTAAATGATGAATTGTAATTAATGATTTAAATGATACAACCCATGAAGAACTCTGTGAACGTTCAATTAAAAGATCAGCAACTTCAGGAATAGAAACATTCATTTCATGTGTTGCCTGTAAAAGACCTTGAAATAACATAAAAGAAGATAGTTTTTATTCGTTTTTTTTGTAATTTCGATTTAACATACAATCTAAATGTTTTCGTTTAGGTCCTATCATTTCTTCTGTTGTTGCTTTACATACAACTTTAGCTACAGGTTGTCCAGCTATAGTATTTTTTGCTGCTAAAAGACGATCAACAATACTTTGTCCACCTTGTTGCATGATTATATTCTTCTATATTGAAAAGACAAACGAATGAAATTTTCGTTATTTATCGTCGAAATAATAAGAAAACAGAAGAATTCCTTATAAGGCGTTTGTTTGCTTTTAACGAATAGCGACATTTTATGATTGGCTTTATTAAAGAAGTCGAATAAAATCTGGATAATAAAATCGAGATAAAACATGTGATAAATCGAAATAGAATATATATTCAAATTGAATGATTGGTTTATTTAATTCGTATTAGATTTCTCTTGTTTCATAAGAATGACATCAGATAGAAATGAAAAGTCACAATTATTCTGCTATCCAAGTTTATTTTGAATGAACGTTTTATCGTAATTTTGCTTACATATTTAATTTTACACATCTATACAAAATCATAAGTGAGATATCTTTGATTTATTCAGTATTTTGAAAATGTTCCGTAGTATTTATATTGTCATGTTTATATAGAGTTAATAATTATTCCAACATAAAAATAGTCTGTTATCTATTTTCAACTTTTTCTTTCATGCAGAAATATTCTTTCAGTTCTGCACATTATAATTAACGCCATGTCTTAACAAATCTAACAACACAATTAATTATTTAGACTCATTAACCAACTATTTTTCCTTCAAGTACAATTGCAATATGTTAATATTATTAATCCAAAGAAGATTCATATGATCAGACAGTAATCTGTTTAACTTGATTACTATCTCCATTGTTTTATTTATTTATAATAAAAATTGCCCCTGTTAATATTAGAGAAGGAACCATTTTAACCGATAAATTGCTTTTTTAATGAAGCGCTCTTAGGTCTTTACATTTTTTTTGATCTACTCGGATTATTTAGTGTATTGAATTCTAAAGAAAATAGAACTATTTCAATTTATTTCAAACTCATTTTTTCACATTAACCTAATTTACTCTACTTATTAAAAAAAACACATCATATTTATAGACTACTATGCAAAAAGGATAAAATAAGAACAAATGAGAGTATCTAATATCAATAGCTAGCAATATGAGCCATTTTCTCTCCTAAGAATAATCCCTGTTCACGCAAGATGAGCTCTTTGATGTTCATTTAATTTCAATACACTAAATAACCCGAGTAGATAAAAATAAAAGATTTCAGGAAAAATCGATAATCTAGATATCACTAACACTTTATTAAAAACAAACAATTTTACCAGTTGAAACAGCTACATCATAAGTCTACAATATCAGTATATAATGCGTGGTATAATCCATATAGCAAGAATCGATGTAAGGAATGATGACAGTAGATTCACTTGATTATTCGATAATATATTGTAACCCGAGATTCGTTCAACGGATGGACCAGGTTTCTGTACGGTAACATTACGTTCTCTATCATAACCACTAAATTGTAAAGCTGCACCTAATAATGAATCAATCAATGAACCGAGAAGACCGAATAATGTACAATAAAAAATTAATTGAATATTTATCATTGATGTATTTATTAAATAATCCGATCGACAAAATACTGCATTACCAATAATATAACTAATACCAATAAGAAAACCACCAAAAAGACTAGCTAAACATCCAGCTGAAGATATTCCACCATTTGTTCCCGTTGGTACAGTTCGAAATGGATTTGTAAGTAAACGTGGATTGCCTTTAGCAAATACTGTACCAAGTTCGGATGCTATAATACAAAAAAAGAATCAATTTTTTTTAGTTCATTATCAGGAATTGAAATTATGCCTAATGTGTCACCACAACAACAAGCAATTGTGAAAAGAAATCCAATTGAATAAATAGTTGATTCATGTTTATTATCGATTGGTAATGAAAGACCAGAGTAATTTGTTTTCCAACAATAACCACATGCATAAATACATGCAATAGCACCATTACATAACACTTGAATATGATCACGTGCAATTTTTTTATATTTCTTATAATCTACTTGACGATCATCTTCGTTAATTTTTGATTGTTTAAAATCCGATTTATAACGTGTAGCAAATGAACTACTTATAACAAGTGTGAACATAACAAATTGAAAAACAATATTTGAATAAGTAATTATGAAACAAAGTATAAAACCAGTTATTGCACCGGATAATGTAAATGAACCACGTTTATATTCAAAAATTGCCAAAAATAAAACGAGTAGGAATGAACGAAGAAGTTTAAATAAAGATAAATCCATCTTCTGATCTATAATGTAGAAATAACAGGAAGTACGGAAAAAGAAAGTTTCTAAGGATTTTTGAATATTAAGTATTGTGAAAGGAAGATGGTATAGTTTCGAATATAATCTTGATTAAGAATGGAGTTTAAAATCAATCTTTACTGAAAAATTTGGTACAAAAAATCGTACGAATAATTCGAGCACTAAGGATTGTTAATAAAGACGGTGTATATGTGACGATTTTTGATAGGACTGGTTTGTTTTCGTACACAGCATACCTATATATACTCGCTTATTCGAAAAAAAAGCATGGATGGGACAAAGTACAACGTGAGGTACGAAGTAGAAACAAAAAATGACGACATATGTATACACTGAATACACCGTGAGTATTACAATATTCTGTTCAAATATTTTTCATATTATCTCTAAGTATCTGCTATTTAATACGGATATTTACTGTTTCTTACGAGAGTTAACTTACGTTATATTATGAATTAATGGTATATTTACAGAAAAATGTAGTATAGATATAATAGTTGTTCGTTTGTAAGAAAAAAGAGAAATGTATGTTTTTTTTCTTTATTTGACTCTTGTTATTGCATATAAATATAGTTTATTCTCTGTATTTTGAATCTAAAGACGATAAATTATTTAAAAAAAAAAGTGACAATCTGATTTTTGTTTTCTTCTTTTTCTTTTTTTTTTCTTTTGGAAACAATAAACCAGCGGCCATAATCATCACACGTGACAGAAAAAAGAACTGAATGCAAAGAGACAAAAGTAGTAATAAAAAGGATCGAATACAATGGATATATTTATATGTATATATGTATATATATATATTTAGAAGTTTAGATGGTTTATGTTATTTTTAAATACGCGAAAAGAAAAGAGTACAAGCGAACAAAAGACAACGAAGAGATTTACAGTTACAGAAGAGATTAAACAAAAAGAAGAAAGAAGAAGAAATAAAAGTTTTAAGTTGTTTTTTTTTTGCGAATTTAATTTGATCGTGAAGAATGTCTTCTGATTTCTGAAGTAATTAAAAAGGAAAGAAGAGAGAACAAAGACGAAAAAAAAAGAAATCATTTTATTTAGTACCACTACTACCACAACAACCACCATCATTTCCACCTACTCTTTGATTTGTCGGTCGAGTAACTGTTATTGACTGACCATCATTTCCACGCCCTCGTCCTCCAGTTGGATTTGATACATCTTGAGTTTTTGGTAATTTTCTTGCTATTGCCATAAATATATCATTAACATTCATTGCTGTTTTAGCTGATGTTTCCATAAAAATTAAACCATTTTCTTCAGCATACGTTTGTGCTTCAGTAACTTCAACTTGTCGTTTAGCAGATAAATCAGCTTTATTACCAGCTAACGCAATAACAATATTTGGTGCTGCTTGACGTTGTAATTCTTTAACCCATACTTTAGCTCGACTAAATGTATCTGCATTTGTTATATCATAAACAACAATTGCTGCTTGAGCACCACGATAATACATTGGAGCTAATGAGTGATATCTAATAAGAAGTAAAAGAAATTTTATTTCAAATTAAATTTGTTTTTCTTCTTTTTTTTACCTTTCTTGTCCAGCTGTATCCCATAATTCAAGTTTAACTGTTGTATCATCAACAGATACAGTTTGTGTAAGAAATGCTGCACCAATAGTTGATTCTTGATATTCATGAAATTGTCCTTTAACAAATCGAAGAACCAAGGATGATTTGCCAACAGCTGATTCACCTAATAAAACCATTTTAAATTGACATGTTCGTGTTGCTTGACCATTAGCTGCTTGACGATTATTATTACTCATATTTTCTTTTCTGGGAAATTAAATATAAGGGAATGGGATGAAATAAAGAAATCTAAAATGTAATTAATCAAATGATTCATGGAAATAGAAAACAAATCATACGACAACAAGAACAGCCATGATAGGCAAGTGCATGTGTGCATCTTTACCGAAGTGATTGTTTTGTTCAAGACATTTAGTGACATCTGTTTAAAAAATAATTTAATAAGAAAAATTTTTAGATTTATTATTCTAATTGTTTGAATTAAAAAATTAATTTCATTATAATGAATATGTTTTAAGATTGGATAAATAATATAATCAATTTTCAATCAATCATATTTGAGAGAACGTAAATGATAATGGTAAGACAAACCAGCTGAGTTGATCTTATACCCTACGCTCGTCGTACTCGTAATTTATATCAAGATATACATGCGTTGTCCTTGATTCCTAGACTTCTAATTATTTGTGAAATTTAACAGTTTTCTTTCGTCAATGGGTAATTGTTGGCGAATGCCAGAAGATCATACTAATCTTCTACCAATATCTTCTACTCATAATGCTTCAGTATCAGTATCTTCATCAAGTTCACATCCAAGTTCGACAACATCTGATTCATCTATTCCAAAAGTAAATTTCTTTTCTATTTAGTTTTGACATATTTATATATATTTATTTCAGTTAGTCACATTAAATCGTTCATCAGTTAACTCAACAGCAATACCAACAACAGATATCAATGTAATTAAAGCTGCACAATGTCGAAATCTTTTTGAACATTTACCGTTAATTAAATATAATGAAAAAACAATAAAACAAACTGAGTAAATTAATTTTTGCCTATAAATAAATCATGTGTATTTTTACTTTTTGTATTTTTAGTTGTGCTATATGTCTAATTGATTTTCTGCCTAATGAACAAATCCGACAATTACCATGCGATGGTGCACATATATTTCATCCATCATGTATAGATGGATGGCTACAAAAAAGTCTCACATGTCCACATTGTTCAACTAATGTTGATGCAGCACTTCTTCTCAAATTTATTCCTAACTCATATGAAAATGATGATGAAGATTGAGAATTCATTTTTCTTTTCTATTATATACATATAAATATTATGCAATTTACACAATACTCCTTTTTCGTTTACTTTTATTATGTATATATATTCTTATTATTGTTGTTTTCTTTTTGTTTGTATCATTGACGAGATCTGTTTATTTGGTTTTGTGATAATATGTATGTTTTAAATTTGATAAATATAGAATGTTTGCTTTTTTTTTCTTTGTTTATATAATTAATAATAAGAGAAATTTGTTTTTAATGTAAATGTTAAAATAAATATAAAATATCAGGAATGAATAAAAATTTCAATTGATCTTTAATAATGATTTATGAAGAAGATATCCTTCAAAATAGATTTATTTTGTCTGTATATTTTCATTGACCTATGAGATCATATCTGCTTGTATGAATTCAATGATAGACGATCTTGAAAATGACACATTTTAATCTTTATGTACCAGATGTATTTTCAATGAAAATTATGATACTGCCTCATGAGAGAAAGGACATATTTATCAAACATTGGTTTTCTATGGTGAAATTCTATAAATGTGATAAAAATTGAAAGAGATGATGACTATCTGGTAACAAGTAGATATTTGTGTTTATTTGCACTTATACTTTTTAAGAAATTTATAAACAATCATCAAAATTCTTCAATATCAAAGCATGCACACCACTTGTTTATCAGTCAACTACCAATATTGTTTTATAAGTAAATGGAAAAATGAATAAATTTTACAAATTATTTACAACATTTTTCATCAGGTGATCAATAATAATACAGAAATATTTCTGTAGAATAAAACAAACGAGAAGATGTTTTTAATAGAATCATCAATTATATTCGACATTATTTAAATTATTAAATATAAAGAAACATGGATTTTCAAATGATATCTTTCACTTCATTTTTATGTATTTGTTTCATTTAATATAAAGGTAATAATGAGTGAATGATTCTAATGCTCACTGTATATAATCGTTTTTATATGAAATATTTGTAAAAAAAATATGATATGTCAATGAAAACAATATGATTATTTCTATAAAAAGAAAAACATTGAAAATCAGCAGTTTTGAAGGAAATGCAAAGTTTTCTGAAGCAAAAGAATGTATTTGAACAAAATATTTTATTATTTTTCATTCATTTGAAATTCTGTAGAATAAAGCAGTAACTACGTTGTTAGTTATCAAATTATTGTTGAAAAGATATTGCGTCGATAAAATAATTCAGTATTGATATAACTGCTGTTTCTTTTATGTTCACCGTCTCTACATACACGTTCAATCGCAAATTAAGAAAGAAATCTGAAATTTTGTTTCTTCAGTGAGAAAAATAATTAAAAGAACATAAATAACTTTTCATAAAATAATTATTGCATACGATAACATCAAATTAAAATGCAGTTTTAATAATAAATATTGTCTAATTCTCAATTATTTTAGAAGAATCTTTGTGTATAGTAAAACATTTTAACGCCAGTTTTTTTCTCTGTGAGAAAATGGCGAATATCCTTTGAATAGCGCTGATTTTCAATGTTTTATTAACCAATAATTACACTAAATGTTGTCTCAAAGAGTTTGATATTTATAGAAAATAACAACTCTATCTGACAAGAGTTGTTTTTTTTGAAAATTAACATCTAAAAAGGAAGTGAGTTCATTGTTTTTATTGATATATGATGTTTTACATTAACACGATGATCTACGTCATAAGGCAACTGATTATTTAAGAAAGAGAAAGAGAGAGAGCATGATAAATATTTTTTCTCTTATTTTAACAATTTTCTAGTTGAAATTGAATTGAAAAAGTTTTAAGTAAAAAAAAACAATAGTACATAGTAACAATGTAAATTTCGCATAGGTGCAAACACTTTGTACATAACGAAAAAAAAGAACAACACATTGTTCTCTTTCTCATACTAATGTGTTTCTTATCGAATGAGACGATAAATCAATTTTTTTCTTCTTAATTTAAAGTTGAAAAATGCTAAGCAACAGCTAGATGACACTATGATGTTTTGAGTTTTAACTATTTTTTGCGCTGCTGTGATTGAAAACAGAGACAGATTGTGGGTGTGGATATCAGAGTCTTCGGATACTCACACTCTTATTCTCTTTCTCGTAGAGAAGAGTCCAGTAAACATAAATTGTCTGCTTGCTTGGTTGTATATCCGCAGGGTCAAAAAAACATCGACAATCGATTTTTAGAAAAAGACATTTCTCGAGGTTTTTCGATGCGGGGAGTTCGAATTTGAGGTCTGTTGGGTGGCCATGGTTAGGGTGGGTGGATGTGGGTGAAAGGTCAAAAAAACATTGAAAATAAATTTTTCGCGTTTTTTATTTGTTTTTCTAGTAAACGTGAAGAAAATGGATTTCTACGAGAAAGAGCTAAGCGAGTCCTCGGACGAGCGTTACTTGTAAAAACAAGGTTTTACTTTCTGTTTCTTCGGTTATTTATCTGTTTACTGA